AGAAAAAAAAAAAAAAAATGAAAAGGAAGTGAGATGAGAGGAAATCCAGAGACGCCCAAGAAGCTGTTTGTTGGTGGGGAGCTACGGCTTCCCACAGCGGCCATCGCGCAGCTTTGGTCCAATGACTGTCGAGGCCCGTCCGATTCCCTTTTGGGTGTTGTATACACATGCACTTTGTTGGTCTTCGTTGATTAACGTCAAGAAACTGAATCTAAGATCACCTTGATTCTCTCTTTGTTTCATCCCTTCTCATCTCATATTTCTGAAACAGTCTTCATCTCCATCAACCTTCCACTTTCTCTCGTCTTCCTACCACTTTCCCTTCATTGTCTAACAAGACCGACCTTCTTTTATCTTTTTTTCCCAGTTGGCAGTAGCTTTTACCTGTTGAGACTTTTCCATTGCGAAAGTTGGAATATCAACAGGATACTTTCAAGTCCAAACCACCTGTCAGCCAACATCCGTGCCGGTGCCACCTACCATCTATCTCCCCCGGGCTTGTGAGATGGCCTGCCCTTCCACAAGAAATCTTAAGGACTGGCTAAGAGATTTGTCGAAATGGCGTGAGAGGTGCCAGGGATGGATTCAACAGGAGTTGAAGCACAAATGCAACGACCCAGTTGAATGGAAAGAGGGCGATGTCCCTGGATTTACCCCGGACATCCTGTCAAGCCAAGAAGATATGGCCTCCCCCCGTACCTGGAAAATTATGAACCCACCTGGCCACACCTCTATTGAAGAAGAATTCGATGTGAACATCAACCAGGGCAAGTGGAATCCCAAGAATGTCCGTTTGTCGGATGCAGGTGCCATCTATGCCCTTTTGACCTTGCCTGCAGACTATCGCATCCGACACCGGGTCTACGACTTTGATAGCCAAGGGGACGTACGAAAAGAACGAGTTCTGAAAGCACCCACTGTTGCTTTTTACCAGAATAACCAGCGGACGCTTGCCGCCTGGAAAGGTGTTTATGTCTTCACGGGGGGGGTACAATGATGCTGGATGGTCGCTGGCCGGCAATTACCCACACGGACCACCTTTTTTTCCCAAGCTGGTCTGTTGATCGCATCATCTCATGTAAAGACTTTTGATACCCTGAATGTCCAGTTGACCGAGTACGAGCCGAAAAATATCTGCCTCCGAGATTCGAATCTTACGGAGAATCTATGGAAACGTGCGTATGGGTGTTACGGGATCCCACTCAGGGGTTGCGGCGATGTTTCCGGACATTACCTTGTACTTGCGGGGCAGAGCACATCCGGGTACCAGAAGATGGGACTTCTGTTTGGGTTCAATACCCTGATTGGCCCCGGCGCTAACGCTGCCAACACGAATGAAGCGATTCAACCGGACCAATGGCCTTCCACAGCCTGAAAGAATAAGTTCCCTCCAATGGGAGTCCAAACGTCAAACCAATGATTCCATCAACTTTATCGGCATCCGGTGGGGGAAGTTGCCGATTCGAACGAAAACAACTAAAGACAAAACAAACTGCCGCAAGCGCAAGAAGCCAGACAGCGGCAACGAAGCTCAAGATTCTCTCCCATTCTCATCTCACTCTTCATCGGTTGGGAGTGAGACGGTAAATGAGAGAAGTCCGGGCCGACCAGTTCACGATTCCGACAGCTCGGTTACCTTCAAGACACTTTGGGCCGAGCTAGCAGGTGTCGAATCGCATCCAAGATACTGGGAGCTGTTCACGGCAGTCTGTACAATCGAGACCATGCATCAGAGTTGGCATCACAACAATATGGCTGTTAAACTGGTCCAACACAATATCTCGCCATCTGAAGCTGCTGTTATCTGCGACCTGATGGAGACTCTGAGCCCAACGCTTAGGTCTTTAATTCTAGATATTGACGCGAACGAAGATCGCACTGCTCTTGAAAATGCTTTTGGCTACAACTCAGCATGGTCTTGTTTCAGCAGCAGGTTGAGGCCATTGAGGAGGGCCCCGTTAAACAGGCCTACATGAACTTTTACTCCTACTTTCAGACCCTCGCCCTCCCCATATCTGAGACCCCACGGCCCTTAATTAAGTTGGAGTAGCAAGAGGTAACTGACAGTGGTCTCCGCAGCCAAGATCTTCAACAGCACACCGAGATCCAAGGGATGGACTTTTAGTGACAAGCAAGTTTCCCCACACTTCATGCAGCAAGCTCCGGTTGTGAGCGGATACCAGGACCAGGTTAACATTGGAAAATAATGTTTCCCAACGCAGACAAAGAGAAGAAAATGGGAGCGAATGTCTTACAAACTCTTGATGTCTCGGCATGTCCAATAATCGTTATGTTATTGTTCTGTTCTGTATGATATCATTGAATTCAACCTCCATTAGTCTCAATAGCTACATCTGGATTGTAATCTTCCAACCAAACTGCCCCGGTACCCCACATAATGATGTATTATCAATTGGACATCAGAGAATAGTCACATATTGTGAGAACCGAGAGCATCCCCGAAAAAAGGTGACATCACTTTCCTTATCTCTGAGAGTAAGGAAGGTGATCCACTACGGTGGTTTTCCATTCCTATTGGAAGACGCGTGGTTGGGGTACCCTTGGCATGCGTTATACCATTTTCGGAACGCCTTTTGGGACTTCAGCATTGTGAAAGACGAAGATAGAATGGAAGGTAATCCATAGTTTACATATCCGTGTAGTTATACATTCAATATTACCTTCCAAATGAAGTTCTTATCTGCGGCTTTCAATCGTAGGCCCTCATCAATGATCGAATATATATAGTCCAGTGAGGTATGGCTTTCTGTTTTAATTTTCATCACTCGTAACTCGAAAGTTGAGGAAATCCCCTGTGTCAGACGATAATTCCAAACAAATCTCCGAAAACAACATCCAAAACTATGTCGCAAGCTCTTGATTTGTCCCTGTTGAAGGGGTCTCCTGAGGAGAGAGATGCGGTTTCGGCAGCCCTGCTAGCCACACTCAAAACGCGTGGAGTGGCCAAGCTAAAGAACCACGGGCTCCCAGAAGATCTAATTGCTAAAATGTTTGACTATGTAAGTTCGATCGAACGAGAGATTGTACGTCCACTGATTGTCTTTGCCAGACTCGTCGATTCTTCTCTCTTTCACTCGAGGATAAGATGACCGCCAAACATCCGCCTGAGGCAAACCCCAACCGTGGATACAGCTACGTTGGCCAGGAATCAGTCTCTTCTATTAGTGGCTATGAGAAGGGCCTCCCTCAAGGGAAGTCTATTCGGGATATCAAGGTGAGTGCTTCCTGTATGATCCGCCGTGACCATCCATTCTAACAAGCACAGGAAACCTTCGATATGGGCTCCCCGAACGACAGCCTCGTGGACAACATCTGGGTAGCCAACGAGAAACTTCCTGGCTTCCGGAAATTCATGGAGGATTTCTATGAAAGCTGCTTCAAGGTTGAGTTGGAGATTCTCGACGCGCTGGCCATGGCCCTTGACATTTCGGCACCAGATCTCAGACTAATACACAACAAGGCTGAGAATGAGTTCCGTCTGCTTCATTATCCCGCCATACCAGCATCCGCTCTAGAAGATGGAACTGCCACTCGCATTGCAGAGCACACAGACTTCGGCACGATTACCATGCTGTTCCAAGATTCCACTGGTGGTTTGCAGGTCGAAGACCAGAAAAACCTGGGGACCTTCCATGATGTCGTGTCCGGAGGCAAGTCGGAGATCATCCTGAATATCGGCGACTCGATGCAGCGCCTGACCAATGATACATTCATGGCTGCGTGTCACCGGGTAACCTATCCGCCCACCGTCAAAGTGGGTTCTGATGTGATTATCCCCGAGCGCTATTCTGTTGCCTATTTTGCCAAGCCGAACCGTGTCGCTTCCTTGTTTCCACTAAATAAGTTCATCACGTCTGCTACTCCGTGCAAGTATGAGGACATTACGGCCTGGGACTACAACAATCTGCGAATCGCCAAGTTGTTCTCCTAGACAGCCGTCCGATCAAGATATGGCGTCTAGTTATACGTGTATTACGTCCTCATATTGCCATTCAGATTGGAATATTATCACAAAGCCTCGACGTTGTTTGTAGGGAATCATGTAGAATAATTCATTTCCATTTTTCTCTTTTTCGGAGTGACCATGCTAGTTCACCTTGGATGTGTCGATTAGACCCCGACGCGGTGATGATTATTTGACGTCTACAACGTTTATTCTACCCCAGGACTACGTCGGAAATGACTACCAAGACTCAATGTTGATCCCCGAGGAGAGGGGCAATAATCCAACAGGCAAGAAGTTCCCGGAACGAGCCCCCAATATCGGCTGACGATTGTTTCTTCCGACCTGGTCGGCCTCAGGCATCCACCCCCGCGGAGGCCTGAGGCCACCAAGGGATGCAAACCCTGCAAACCCTTCGGGACGACAGTCACGACCGATCGGAGTCATGTGACCTATCAACGTTATCACCCCACTTAGCGTGATACGCTAGTGTCCTCTCCCACAGTGGATCTTTCCTCCACAATATACATTCTCGCCGCAGCTCTTTCCGCAATATCTGAATCACATCTAACAGCCACCATGTCGCGCCGTCCTAAACCCAACCTTTCCCCCAGCGTCAGCCCAGAACCTTCTCCAACAATGATTACGACTTGTGCGAACAAATTTGTTGATCAGTCGGACTTTGAGTTTCACGTCTGCGACGCAATCCAACGCGCATCAAATCCTCAAGTATTGGTTTTTACAAATGTGAGCCGGTCGTGGGGGGAGCAGATAGTGGAATCGATTAACCAAACAAGGGACGGATACTCAACGCGGTAAGTCAACGCATGTAAGGTCTCGTCGACTCCTTTTAACACTGATTCTCTCAGGAAAAATTACAATTCTTGGACCAAAGTTTTACGAATCACAATTATGCCGACGGTATTACATGATTGTGTTCAAACTTGGTGGCGTGTTACCGAGATTGCCTTGCGGGATACTGGGGATTTAACTGGTTATGAACAAACCCAAATTGAAACACTAGTGGGCACAAGCAAGTTACCCTACGCTTCTCTTATTGACTTCTTAATAAGTTCTTGCAGCCCTTGAGTTCCGATCAGGCCCCTCTCGTTGTTCCCGGAAAGAACCTGATTTCTTCATCCGGACAAACAACGATCTTCTCCCATCCCTTGCGATGGAGTCTGGATGGAGCGAGTCATGGAATCACCTTATGGATGATATGAACCTCCTGCTAGTCGGTGGCGATGGGGCCATTAATGCCGTTGTGATCCTCAAGTGGCAACTTAACCGTCCCGCGACACTCGTGAGCGGCTTTGTCGAACTTTATGTTCGTGATAGACGCGGTATGCCTGTGTGTCGCCAACGAGAAGTATGTTCAAGACCTCTAGTCTATTCAGTCGACTCACTAACGGCGTGTAGGATGTTTTCCCGATCCCCCCTCAAACCCAAACTCCCCAACGCCTGGAACTGACCCGCCGAGAAGTGTTCGGCCCTCATCTCTTGCCAGACCCGACACGCAATGGACCTCCCAATGCGATGGTGTATCTAGAGATAAACCAATTGCGGCTGGTAGCCACCCGGGCACTGCAGCGCATGAATCTCCGTCCCGCTTAGCAGCCCTTCTCCCAACGACATCGTCCGTGACGGAAAAACTTGCTCTACTTCACTAATATTATTGACAACGGCTTCTTCCTGTCCATGCTCCAGGTATGTATTTTTAGTTTGTTTCTTTTCTTGCTGCCCGCGTGTATTTCATGGTTTCTTCCTGTCCGCAGGTGGTGTATGGCCGTACGTAGAACACACCTACTTTTGGACTCCCTCGCTCAGTTAGTGTCATTAATAACACACTTCTCTAACACCAACGTTCCTACTATTTACCTCGTACACTTCCAGACGCAGTTTCGATACGAAAGAGTGATGGCAAGGCATCGCACGAAATTCCACGTGCGCTGGGTTGAGATTCGGGAGCCATGCATTAAAATATCCTCCCCCAATGGGCTCCTGACCAGTCCAACAAAGAACCATTGGTCCCAAAGTACAGTGCGTCTTGCCGGATCGCATTTACGGCGGAGGATGGGAGTCGACCTGACCTTCCAATCTTCTTAATGGAACCTCTGCACGTACTACTAAATTCCCTAAACCTTTTGCAGATTCATCTCCCTCTATTGTCAATTATAAACCCAAATATTAATCTGCCAGGGGGGCCCTGTTCGGCCTCCACGAAGACCAAAATCGGCCACCATTGCACAAATGCATTTTGTTATCGAGGAATTTAACGACTGTTTGGAACGTATGTACTATGTATGGTGTATTAAAAGATTAATACCATGTCATTCGGTTCGGCCAGGTTGTTAATGCCTACACATGTGCCCGCCATATCGATATCGGAATGACATTCCTATTTAGGATTTGTCAAGACTCAAAGCCCTATCTATATAAGAACAACAACCTCACCGAGGCACAACATCTCTCAAGATGCAAGGAATTGTCCAGTTAACGTTTATTCACGACACAGAGGATATTCGATGGTTGAATGCGGGAAATGCGGCCAGGCATCGCCACTCGATCTTCACAGGTCCGTCTCTGATCGCAACTCCCATCGGCTAGTTCTGACAATGATTGGCAGATGCCGAACGTCGGGACATGACCCTTGAGCTCGTCTGTTCTGTTCCCGATCAAAATCCCGACCAGGCAATTGTTGATCTGGAGAAGTTCGACTCGGATACCAGTTGCTCGGAACCATTCTCGCTTTTTCGGGGGCCTTTTGGTGCTATCAGATGTCCACAACCGATCCCGCTTGACCTATCACCTTACGATAGGGACGAGCTGTCGCCTTCCTCAAATAACTGGTTTGAGGAGCTCGAGGAGCTGCCAAGAGAGGAGGATTTCAACCAGACTCCGTTCAGTCTAGATGCCTTAGATATTCTGAATACAGATTATGGTGAAGATCTGATGCTAGAAAGGTCCAGTCTAGAGCCGCTTCAGAGTATTGGGAGGAACTTCCACGAGCCGAGTCTACAAGCAGAGCTCAATCCATACCTATCGGTGGGCAACATCGAGGGCTGGAGTCTCCTATCTCATTACAAAGAGAGAATCGTCCCATTGATCTCTCCTTTGCGCCGAGGAAAGGAGACACCTTGGATCGGCCTGGTATTACCATGTGCAAAGGCAACTTTGGCAGACTTGATGCTGAATGGGTCTTCCAACCATGCACGGCTTGCCCTATTAAATGCGGTATGGAGCACAAGTGCCTTTCACTTGGGGAACAATTCAGTGGCTTGCCTTCAGCAATGGACTGTCTCGGGAGGGATATACTTGGCACAGGCTCAATACCACTTCCAACGATGCATGGAAGAAAGCTGTACCTCGGCTACGAAGACGAGCAAATACAAGGAGATTCTCATGGCAATGCTGAGTCTCTCAAATGTCTTTGTATGACATCAGCACGAATCCACCGTACACCGCTAACATTCCCTGAGACAGATGATAAAAGGAGACCCGGAAATGCGACGCGCCTATCTCGTCCAAACAGAAAAGCTCATTTGTGTCAAAGGACTCAGCCAACCGGCGCTGTCAGCCAACAAAAGAGCATTGCACCACTGTTACGCTTATATGCGCATTATGGCTGAGACAACATGCATTGCTGATAGATTGAGCGTCAATCTGACAGGGACAAGCGGCGCTTCGAACAACAACGCGGCGTATGGAGGAGACTTCCGTATCTACCCCAATCTAATATTCTCGACGACCACAATGAGCATGGAAAAGGACCCGAGCATGGCCCAACGCGACCTCCACCTTGCGATACCCGGTCGATGGAGCTCAACTTTATTCCCCACGCTATACGGAATCGATGAAATATTTCTCATGTTACTGTCCCAAGTGATCCGCCTTGCGAACGAGCGAGATTTGTCAATGATGTCCGATGCAACCGAGAGTCGGCTCAGTCTGAAGGAATTTTGGACTCGGGCGAAGGGCCTGGAAAGGGCTATTGATCATTTGCTATCGACTATAAATCCAAGTGGTGTTGGATCTTATGATGGAGCCCTCCCAGTGGTCAAGACTGCGACAGCGCAAGCGATGTACACGGCATTATCAATTTTCTTCCATCGCCGAATATATGAAATTGATCCTACAATGCTGCAGGGCAATGTCGATGCAATCCGGGGCTACCTAATTCAAATCCAACAAGAGGAAAGGGATCAGAAGGGTAGCAACAATGCTGCGTTGATATGGCCGGCTTTTATCACTGCTTGTGAAGCTGTTAGCCCCGAGTTACAGTCGTTCTTCTCCTCCTGGTTTGATAATTGCGCTCGGACGACATCATTGGTTCACGCATCGGTCGCTAAACAGATATTTGAGACAATATGGACCAAAAGGCGCGACGGGAGCTTTTGTGGAGGAACATGTAGCTGGCCAGATATTTTGCGGGATGGGGATATCAAGTTTATGTGCATATAACTACTTACGAATACGAAGACATGAGAAATTACAACTAGAATATGAGGACCTGTGAAATAGACGCGAAAATGACCGCTTCTGAGGCCAGAAACGGCCTCCTTTCCACCCGTACCAACAGTGGCCCGCTGCACCACTATTCTGCACCCGCCAAGCATTATTTAGTCACCCACCTAATGTACTAGCTAACGTACTTCACTAGCGAGTCGGACGGACACCCATCGATTTTCGCGTGCTTACCACCTTCCACACAACACCATGCCACCAAAACGCACAAAAAATGATTCCAAATTGCCTGGGAAGGAAGGTTGAATCCTTTTCGCTATGCAAGCTATTCAAAAAGATCCAGCGCTCTCTATACGCAAAGCAGCATCAATTTATAATATGCCACTCTACGCTATATGATAGGACACAGGGGAAGTCTAATCGCCAGGAAACACGCGCAATTCATATAAATTGACGCAAGAAGAAGAGGATTCTCTTTGCTAGTGGATATCGCTAGATAAGCGTGGTGCACCCACTAGGCCTTTACATATTCAAGATATGGCGAATCTTCTACTAGCAACACGCGGAGATCTACTGCCACCTCAACTACCACCTACTGTCGGTATTAGCTGGGTAATACGACTTATTCAACGTGGATCTTAGCTTACTACACGGTATTCAAAACGCTATGATTACCAACGTGCCCAAAATGAGGACCCTACTACCCTACGAGCGTGGTTTAAAACGGTACAACGCGTTATCGAGCAGAACGGGATTCATAATCACGATATCTATAATTTTGATGAGAATGGCTTTGCAATGGGCCTGATTGCTACTGCTGAGGTAGTCACCCGCAGAGACTTCTAAGGCCAGAGACCCCTATTACAGCCTGAAAATCGAGAGTGGGCTACGGTGATTGAATCTATATGTGCTAGCGGTTGGACTCTTCCGCCGTGTGTGCGTTATTTTTAAAGGAAAAAAAGACCATATTTCGGATGGCAGGAAGGCCTACCGAATGGCTGGCGAATTGAGGTCTCACCGAATGGCTGGACAACCGATGAAATAGGCCTTCGCTGGCTATAAATATCTTTTATTCCTGCTACTACTGCTCATACGATTGGGAAATATCGATTATTAATTTTAGATGGCCATGGTAGTCATCTAACGCAAGAATTCGACCAAATTTGCCAGCAAAACAAGATTATACCAAATCTGTATCCCACCACATTCGTCGCATCTTTTACAGCCACTCGATATTGGTTTTTTTTGCTATCTTAAAAGGCTCATACGGACGCTTAATCGAACGGCAAGCTCGCGTGGAATATAACCATACCGACAAGCTAGATTTCCTAGAATCCTACCTTCTAGCACATTAGGAAGCGTTCAAAATAGAGACAGTTCAATCTAGTTTTCCTAGCGCTGGACTAGTTCTTCTAGGTGCTGAGCGAGTCCTGTAAAAATTAGATATTTTACTACGTACACCAACACCCATCAAGCAGACCGAGCAGCAGATCTAGCGATTTTATGCCTACAACACCACATACAATCAAGCAGCTTACCAAGCAAGCTTCGTCAATCAAATCTCTACTACGACAACACCAGCGCCCGCCAGGAAGCCCTACCGACCGAGCGCCAGATCAATTGATCAAGGTTTGCAAACTAGCGATGCATAGCGGTACGCCATTAGCGCAGGAAAACAGAGATCTACGCAGATTTAACATTCTCCGCGTCAAGGTCATCCAGAGACTCCCTTCCAGCCATGCTATCCCCACTCTCAGTCTCTAGCTGTACTCCCTCCGATTCCGATGACTAACCAACTCTTAACCATTCTTGTTCGCTGACAAGCCGCTCTTCGTCAACGGGTGGCTCTTGCTCAAATTCTTCAGCCATCACCATTCCCGTATCGTGGAGAATCGGCTCACTTTGCAGTCCGCTGCTTTGTTCGGAACTCATCTCAGCATCGGACTCGATGGTCAAATCCAATCGCTCCTCACGCCCTCTGCTTTCTATTGAATCATCGCAGATGATCTCCATGTCAGATGTAGAAGTTATAGTTGACAAGTTTCTCGAAAAGGACCTTGAATATCGTTTACCGCGTGTAATTTGGCCCTCTTGTTGCTCTGGTTGCTGTAGTTTCCGCGTCTTTTCGTCTCGCTTCTGCCGATGTCGCTCTCGGTGTACTTCATTCGAACGCTGCTTTTCTGAGCTGCCATCTATTTGTCTTGCTTCGACACCGTCTTCATTCAGTCGTCCATCCTGATGCATATCAGATATACACGATCCAGAACGTGTTTTTATTATTTTTCCCCCTTATCTTGTTCATACTTTGGGCTTGTTTCTCTTGTTTAAGAGGCTGGCTACTTTAATCATGTTCATACAAGACTACTTTGCTTATCAATGTCATTCGAACATCAACTTTAATACTTTGTATCCTTCCAACAGTAGAATGTCACATCTAGTACACCGTGTGGTAATAAATATCTATCCCTACCTGAGAACGCGACAAACTTTCAGGCATTTCTAAGCAGTCTGGTATACCAGTACATGCCCTGTTAGGCACAGACGAAATATCGATCTCCGAGGCACTGGATGAGCACATGCATACCTTGTCTTCTCCACTCTTTCCTGTTTCTACTGGCTTGGATTATTTTCTGCTAATCACTAATTACTACTTAGCCTCTTCACCTAGGATCGCTTCACAGCAGTCTATATTGGTTGGAGCCACATATACCAAGTACTGTCACAGTGCCTTCTTTTGAGAATATTTCAAGTAGTGAGAAGATCTTGGGTAAGTGATGAACCAGCTGTCCAGGGTTATGGTAATCAGCACCAACAAGTGGCCAACGCTTTCACACAAAGAACCCCTTGATAGGCGGGCTTCAAATGGAGGGTTGCTGCTGTGCTACAAAGGGAAAATTTCGACCCGTTGTCAGGCGATTACGTCTGATATATATGCAGGCCACCATTGCCAACTGAACACTCAATGGATTGCTTCTATTGGACAACTGTTGTCTTGTCGGCAAGCTTGTCCTATCTGTGAAACTTGGGTGCAAGTAGGCCATTATCAAAGACCATGATAGCGACGGCAGCCGTCTACCCCTTCTCCCTGGGTCCTATCAGGGCAGGCCGAACCCTTGTTTGCATGCACGACATGATCCATTGGATGCCATGTCACGTTTGAGACGGTGTCGCGTGGCGTGGTGCAGTGGGCTCGGGGCGTCTCAAGATGAGAGTAGCATTATACCGTAGATCGAACATGCCTATGGTTAACATGGATACCTTCTTCCCCGCTTCTTGAGAATTCCGTCTTTATCCGCAGCCCCCGCGTGCCCCCTCGGAGTCTATTTGCCTCTTTCTATCATAACTCATAGTTAGCCGTTAAGTCTGCATTAAAGCGCAATTAAGGTATTGATAATCAAAAGATCTATCACATTCGAGCATCTATACAGATCCACAGTTCATCGAAACCCTCGAACTGTTTGATCGTTCACACCATAACCTCGGGTAGGAACCAGGGTATCCCTGTTTTGGGCGCGGACGACAGTTCATGCAGCATCATCGGACAAATCATGGATGGTATAGTCTCGAGAATAAGCGCTAAATATGTATCCTCCCTCCAATGCATGCATTGACCGATTCGACGATAGAGGGGGAAGATCTCGGGCGCCAAATTATGCGATTGTCTACGGCTGACCTGCAGTTCTATAACCCGGGCAAACGTAGGAAGATCCATGGTAGCGAATAGCCTCTCATTTTCTTGCCCGATTGATATGTTAACCCTTGCTCTACTTCACACCATCAGTGAAAACCTTTCAGCAGATCCTGCTCTTGACAACCTCAAAACTACACCGACTTTTGTTTGCGACGAGGGCGGGTTGACATTGTCGAATATTGGGCCTTACGTTCAGTGGTAAATGAAGTTATAAATATGTCGCCGTATCATGAAGCCACCTGTTTGCAACATAGCGATAAATCAGATTCTTCTCTTCAAGATAAAGCCTCTATTCATAACTTCAACTATTTCCTGTCAATTTCGGTTCACTTTCTCAAATGGCCTCCAGAACGATGAGCCCAGATATCAACATAGATGGCGCATCAAAAGCCGATTCAGCAGTCCGCTCTTTTTTCAATCAATATATTGAGAAAATACCATTTTACAAAAGACTTCTTGTGGCAGTTGAGAATAAATGCCACTATACCCTGGCTGAAAAGGAAATATCTCATTTCATAGAGAGCCGGGTTAAGGACCATCAAAGCCTTTGGAAAAAGCTGGATCAGCGTAAAGGTGGTGCTCAATATTCATCTGTCAAGGATATCGAAGAAGATCTTGTCGATATCTGCGGTGTTCGCATTATCTTTCATTATACGACGGATCAGCATAAAATCAAAGCGCTTTTGGAAAGCTTTTTCCACATTCAAGACGTGAAATCTCACTCAGGTGACGACCGAGAGCATTCTCAAAATCAGCCAAACGATAAATGGGGCTATCAATTACCCCTCCCCGATTATATTGGCACCCACTACCGTGGCTTTGTGAAGTCGGAGATTTTTAAGGAACATTTTCAGGATCTCTCGGCCGCAGATCGAAATGTCGCAGCTGGTACGATGATTGAGGTACAGGTGAGATCCATCATGGACGATATATGGGCAAGATATGCACATTGCATATACAAATCGGAAGGCCCATCCCGTGGGCGTCAACAGTCGATGCTCAGAAATCTTCGTTTGGGCTTGGAAAGTGTGAGAGAGGTCACAATCGAGATGCAAAAGTTAGCATTCCGCGAAGAGGAGAAAAGTAACCGAAAGTTCGAGACCAATGATGAAGTCGGGACATGTTTCCGAAAGCTTATCAAGGCGGACTACGGGCTAGACTTCATCGACCACACGGGTGCGTCTTCTGAAGCGTTGAAACATCTCCTCGAATCGATCGACAAAAACACCCCAGGCTCTTTGCATAAGCTCATCAAATGTTACGATTTTAGCGACGGGCCCGGCTCCAAGTACGAAGAAGTCAAACAACTTTATGGGCCTATGGAATTCAACATGTGCTTTATCTAGTCGATCGTGTACTGCTGTGCCACAACAGCCAGGACGAGACCATCCTGGAGAAAGAAGCAGTCCCCGCGAAAAGAAAAATGGAGATAATTATGAGCACAATTTTGTGGATGAGTAAACTTCTTCGGTCCTCATGGGTATGGAAAATAAAGCTTGCCAGTGCACCATCCCAGAAAAGTCCGAGGAAGGGCCTCGATTGGCTCTCAGGGGCACGCCAACGCGGCATGTTGACAAAGGGACGCGATTTAAACAAAGATGACAAAGCCATTCTTGATGAATTGTGGAACTTGTTTGAAAATCATGACCAGCGACCAATCAAGCTAGCTTTCGCCATGTCGAGCCGTGGGATGATCAGAGATGTTGTACGCGAAAGACAGGAAGTGAACAGAGTCATCGAAGAATTGCTTGAAGCGCCAAATTTCCGATCCTAAAAATCATGCGCATGGATGGAATACGAGCAAAAGCCCAAAAGTTTTGATTTTCCTTTTGCTTTCGATAGTCTTGTGTTTTTTCTGGGCCCAGAATGATCCTATGCCAGCCCAAATTAGCCAATTCCAAATATTTCTTTTCCTCGTTAGTCAATGATGATTCTGTACGCCGTAGTCTTTATCACAAGGCGCACAGTGTTGACTCATAACCTCAAAACAGGTTGTGATGAGTAGATCAAAAGTCCCAAGTCTGAATATGATCGTTAATCGAACTCCTGGAAACTCTCCAGCGCCAAAAGCTCCCTCCGCCTCTACTGCACTCATTGGAGCTCCCGACCGAACAAATCGATAGATCACATAGGATCGATGGGATGCCAGCGCTTCCGGTTTCCGCGATCCAATAAAATCGTGTCGCACATCATCGCGGCGTTTCCAACAAAAGCACCCCTGAGAATCCCTGAAGATTTGGACATTTTGAATTGGAGAACAGGGCAGAATTGCTCCAAAGGACACCATAAATTGACGGGAAAAAAGGCAATGTGTATCATGAAGAAGCTGAACAAAGTGAACTGGTGTCCAAAAAGTAACGCGTCATATTGCTTGCGGAACTGCCTTTTGAGTGCCAGAGCGGTGCAGTAGAGGTCGAAATCTCTGCGGTGATGGCATAGCCACGGTCCTGTCGGTGCATCTTAGCTCCGAAGCCTAACAAATGCAAAGTCCGACAATTCGTTTAAGCCTGAAATCCACATTGAGTCAAGCCAAGACAGAATCTCGCCTTTCTATCCTGAGATATCGAGCTATAAATTCAGGGGGAAACATCAAGCTCCGACATTCATCTGTCCATCCATCATCAGTACTTAGAATTCACAAACAACAAACAACCTCAACTCCACACGACTCAAACATGGAGGTTTTGCCGGCAGCAAACCTCGACATTCGAGTCCAACGCATCGAAGCCGCAGGTCAGTCAATGAACAGCCAACGTACCCTTTTTCGTTTATACCTTTCCAAGCAGACCTGCTGATACTTGTGTGATGACAGAAATATTGGAGCACGAGTTCACGGTGGTTGCCTCCATTTTGGATGACCGCTCTGGACCTGAGTTAGCGACAGACCGAGAAAGGGATCTTGCCAACGAACTCCAGGAACATGCCGAAGAAGAAGTGGCAAACAATGCTGAGAAGTCATCCGAGGTCGAAGTTCGAAAGGAAGTCTGCAAGAATCTCATCCGAGGACTTGTTTTCGATTGCTGGATGTTCTGTGGCAGGATCGATGCTTGGAACTGGAGGAGTGAGGACATTTGGAAAGTGTTCAAGGAGTCCAGGGGAAACAACCCAATATATGAGTTGTCAAGTAAGTCGAGTCCCGTGCCCATATCACGAGGCAGGGGCCGATTGGCTCAAATAATCGGCTGCACAAACTTCATGCAGTGCTGCACTAGGCTTGTGTGATGAGAGATACCAGGGGCTGACATTCTCTCAGAAAGCTTTCGCACAACTCCCCGGCAGGCTCTGGATTTCAGGCCTTCTTCTTGGGGGGCTTGCCGGCCCTGGGCTAAAAGTTAGCGCCGGGGACTTGTGTCACGAGTTTGTCATTCAGGACAGAGCTGGAAATAATTATATGGGCGAAGGGATACTGTGATGGTGCCTTGGGGCAACATGTGAGTGGCCGAAGGTGTGCATCCTTGCTGCATGCTTACCTCCAAGGCAAGTCTGAACTGGGGCAAAGGCACGGGGGCGGAATAGACGATGGAATAATAATATAATCCACGTTATCTGCCGAAACAAAAAGGTTTCTTATGTTATGACGGCGCATCATTTTGTCATTTATTGTTTTGAAGCACGCAAAGTCTACAAATTTATTTGGTTGGACGACCACTCTCCTTTATATTCCGGGCAGGGGTGGGGCTTTGCAAAGAAACTAGTTTCATCCAATCCACGATTGGCGGTAGCGGGGTCTTACCAATAGACCCTCGGCTGGCCCTGCTGGCCTTTTTGGACTCGGACCTTGCCCAAACAGAAATGTCGGATCGTATTGGGTGAATCCGGTCACGAATCAAATACCTTAAGAGACCCCAGCAATAAGAGTGATCGGCACTAGTCAACTTATCACATATTGATAATGCTGAACCCCTGTTTCTTGGTCGAAGACGGTGAGTTCAAATTGCGCATGTGAGCAGAGTCACATTCTCTCGACATGATATGGCACATGCATTGATGCTGGTATTACACAGGAGGACCCAATCGCATCTCAAGACCAGCCAAATGAAGGAGACGCCTCATCAAATTCAAAGCCCAGGTTCTCATTTCCCAGAGAGCCTGGCCACTCTACAAGGCCCTCTCGAACCCTTCATATATCCCTGTGTTGGAAGAGGTTTCTGTAAATAGATCCTCGATATCATGAATCATGCGATTGTGGTCATTTGATGCCGCATTGCCCTCCCTGGCCATTTCAGTGAGTAGATTCCTGACTGGCTCATATGGTGCATTGGCTGGGATATTAGCGAACGCGGTGGACTGTCTTTCACTTGTGAAAGCAGAAATCATAACTATGCACTGTGAGGCTGGGGAATATGTGGAATGATTCCCGAAACCCGAATTTCGCTATTGGGAGATCAGCCAGCCGTAATGGTTCATTTAATAGCCATCAGAACACAGTCTCTAGCGAGATTGAAGCACATACCAATCCTATGGCATCTCCTCGACAAGTTTTGGAGATTTTGAAGAAGCGCCTACCAAAGTGCGAGCCCTATGTGCTCACCCATTGCGATCTCAATTTGGGAAACATCACGGTCCAAGATGGAGAGGTTGTCAGTATGCTCGACTGGGAATACGCTACTTTTTTTCCTATTTGGTATAAGTATGTTTCGGCCTCTTTTGGATTTACAGAGATGGAGGTCGAATGGAAAAAGTTGCTACGTGATAGGCGACATGGCGAGGCACATGAAATTGCCAAAGCATTTTAGACGGATATGTATAGATATATATTCACCATATACGATAACGCTACTATTTCTAATAAAGCTCTGAAATTTATTTAACCTGTTAAAATCGCTACTTCCTTTATATTTAAATTGTAATTTATATATTTAAAGCTGTATCTATTATATACTTTAGAAATAATTCAAATATTGCCTCTATTTCAGGTCTAAAAGCAGGCTTTAAACATATTGTAATTTTCATAAACCATGTGACCGGTCTGTTTGCACTGTTTATCAAAGAATGGGCCCCCATTGGGCCCCCACGATGGGGGGGTGGGCCCAAAAAAAAAAGCCCAAAGCCCAGCCCATTCGTGGATTGGGCTGGGTTGGGCTTTGGGCTTTGTGGGCTCTGCGGAAGCCTAACTGAGAGCCCTATATCATGCTCGGAGGTAGTATCATCATCTATCATCATCACAGGTCATCAGCATATTTTTTATTTTTCATTCAGTTTTTTATTACATGACACAGTAGCAGGACGTGTTTGGTCCTTTCTCTCGCTCCTATCCATCTTTCCATTTTTCTATCTTTCCATCTTTCATTCTTAAATTAGTGTATATAAAGTCTAATAGTTAAGTTAGCTAGATCTTATGTAGCTTATCAAGATAGTAAAAGATATACTCCTAGTGATTCAAGCTCTATTATAACACTACCTTATCGATCTACAGTAACCTTAGAAAGCAAAACAGCCTCAACAGGCCACGGGCACAAGCGAAAGCTATTCCTCCATCTCAACATTCTCATCAACTGTGGCGAGGGCTTTGTAGACTTCGTCGGATACCTCCTGGATGTGGGATTGGTTGGAACTACCCTTGGAGTGAGTGGGTGACATGATGGCCACCAAGTGAAACATGTAAACGAGAATGCCGTAAGCCAGCTCGAGATTACTATTACGCACAAAGACACTGTGCTCTGATCACTAATACATGTTAGAGTACTAGCGCTAAATGATTTAGAAAAACTCACCCTAGAATCGTTCGAGATCTTTAAGAAATGGAACCAAGACCGGTTCGAGGCCATACCATGTACAGTACAATCTCACCTAGAGAAAATCTTACGCTCTCGGTGAATGCAACCTATTAAACGGGTTCAATATATCATGTAACAGGCATCGTCATGTACTCACCCATATACCCTAGGGCCTGGGCAAGAATCACAAGAAACGAGCATGCTGCGGCCCATGAGCCCGTTTGTCATGTTAGATACATGAAAGTCTGTGCTTGGTCCGATTAGTCACTCCAATCATAAGAGTCCGTGCTCTCTCCTGGACTCTCCCACCAATCTCCAGTACAATCTGTCTACCCAAACCAAAGTCTCTTCTCACTTCACATCATCAGCTCAAGTTTATTATCATCAGTCCGACATGCTCACCGGACACGTGGACAGCAGACCCTGTCTGAGCAACATCGCTCATAATTCAAAAGAAGCGGACCAGCTGCCAGCTGTTCCGGTCCTTAGTATTATCCACTTCACCTTCCACGCTGGAGTCAACATCTCAGAGCCATCGCAGCTAGCATCTATACTATGGCAAAAATCTTTGAAGTTTGTCTCGACAATTCCCGGTTTTCAACAGCTGTATTGGGCCCCAGTCGACACCGCTTCGCAAGATCAACAAGTGATCATTCTAATCCAGTGGGATAGCGGTCATGGCTGGAAACTGTTCCAGTCGTCCTTGGGCTTTACCATGATACTAGGTTATATACAAAGTATCTCCAACCTGTGTATCCAGCTTACTCTACCCGCCAATCTCTTCAACTTTGATAGTGTCCTCGAGATAGTCTCATTCCAGTTCTCTGATACACTGTCTACAGCTCAGATTGATCAGACATCAGATTTCAGATCCAAATGGGAATCAACAATTTCTCTATACCCCAGCAGTGTTACCACGGAGTCCGAGTTGATACATTATTGTGGAGAATGGCTTGAATTAGATTACCCCTCTGAAGATCGATTCTTTGTCGGGTTGCTATTCTGGAAATCGAACACTGAGGTGGGTAATCAACGTCGACTTCGAGAAGCAAATTTTCACAATCTCGGGCACCACATAGCAGACCTTGTGAAAGATACAACAGGTGTGGTGTCGGCGTGCACAAACCACCTCAATAAAGTGTCTTTCGAATCTGCTACGCCACGACAATTTGATGCTTCTCCAACTCCAATCGCTATGCAGTTTGAAACAAATCACCCTGTTTTTCGGACGCCCGTTAAGCCTGAATACAATGTGAATGAATTTACATTCTCGGAAAACAAGGACCAGCTCCATCTGGAATCTATGAGACAAGCGAGACGAACCCCTCCTCAGCGCATTGCCGGCGGACCCGCTGGTGGTTGGTGTCCTATGGGAACACTTTCTCAACATCATTTGCCCCAACGGTTACTACCCCGCGAATCCCAATATGGAGTGGATCTCTTTTCGCGCCCAGCTTGAAGACTCACGGGTAGCCGGTTTATTTGAGGATCTCCGGAGGAAACTGTGGAGAATGGGCGATTGTCCACACCTCTTCTGGGGCAAAGATCAGGGAGGGGGTAGTGACCGCATTTCATTATTCATGGGTACGTGACGCTTCCATGATTGGCTATGACTTGAATGGTAATAACGCACCGGTCATTTAAGAGCTCGAAGCGTCCAAACGCCAGGACCCAGAGACTCGAGCACAATTCCAACAATTCATTAAGGAATTCTCAGACAGGTGTGGAGATGCTGTACATAACTTATCTCATCGAAGGACTGTTGGTCCAATTCCAATCTTCATAGGTCTTTGTCGAGATATGGATATCACCGTTTTTCATGTCTCGGAGAACGAATTGGACCAACGGTCATTTGAATATGCCTTTTCGCTTTTCAAGAGGTATTTTCATGTCCTTTGATCGCCGCACCTGCATCTGTGAGGATCCCAGCGACTAGCATGCTAATGCTCGATTCATCAGGACTACACATCAACAACAACAAATACAATCAATCCACAGTCCTTGGTCTGCCATAAAAGCACTGGGCCAAGGATTGCTAAGCCAGGGGAGGCCCATTGACAATCACAATCATTCTTTGTCTGATCAAAGTGAGCAAACCGGCACGGTACAATTCGTCTCAGTATTCGGCTGCGAGAAAGAAGGGGCTCGAGAGGAGTGGTACAGCGACTTTGCCCAACGTGCTCAAACCCAGTATGATCTGTTGGGTCATATCGTTGATTGGCTACGAACCTTATCCAAACACATCACGATGCAGTGTCTACGATTGGAAAACGATGATCCTTGGATGACTGCAGACAAGCAGGCAAAAAGGGAACGCCCGCCTTCGCCGGTTCCTCCGTCTATATTTGACATACCCTGGGCTAATAATTCCAAAGACGGATTTTGGCAGGTGAAAAGTTTGTGACGGAAGCTATTGCAATATTTGTACGGTTGATCCGCATCCCTGTCTTCTTACGACCTGCGATCATGAGAAGCGGTACATAGTCATAGTCAACGTTTTCCGCGGAGATGGCCGAAGGATTCCGACATCGATGGATAAAGGCGAAGAAGAAATTAGTGACCGCAGTGCTGTACCAAAATGCTATATACAGATCATAATCATTAATAATAGGAGCTCACATAGAGATTATTGATATGGATAGGGCTTATCTGTCCGCGTGACTTCGCCATCCATCAACCCGCATTATCCAATCACGAACCAGAGGAGAGCAGTCTGATCGATAGGACGGTCATGCCCAGCACGATCCAGAACAGCATAGGTTGATCTTGGATAAAGCTCCAGCAAGCGAAGACTGGCTCGATAGCCCACGCTCCCGTCTTGCCCACCACATAATAAGAGTGGGTGCAAAGAACTTAGCACTTTCATTATCCAGGGTGCAAGATAACTGATACCGGATCGAATCTCCTCGGATCGAATCTCCTCGGATCGAATCCAACACTTGGGCATCTGCTGCTTTCTCTGCTGGGAGATAAACGTTCTCGTATTTCGCCTCCAAAGCTTGGACGTAAGCAGGCGTTTGAACGAGAAGATCTCCAAGAAGCGACCTGTCTTCATCTGATACATCGGACATAAGCTGCTCGTTTGCAACTAACGGCCTGAAAGCATTGAGATCGCGCATGATATCCTTCGGCTCGATCAGCGGTACGCGTAATAGTGAACCATCGACTTGCGCGATATACTTTTAGGTAATCGCACGTGCAAGGTAGCCGCCACATGATCAGCCGACGATTAAGAATCTTGACTTTCAAGTCGGGAATCAATGAATTGTACCAGCCGAAGGTAGATATCGTTCAGATCCTTGGCGTTGTTCGCAGGCGTTGTGCCCATGCCTGGGAGGTCCGCGTAAATGCGGTGAAACCCCGCTGTTTTGGTGAATATTGGCTCAAAGTCTGGCTCCTCGACTCTTCCTTCCATCTGGCATCCATGGATGATCACAACGGGGAGTCCTTTTCCGATTTCATGTGCAGATAGAATAGATGCCATTTTGTTGCTAGGTGGTGATTTGTGGATATATGCGCAAGAACGGCGATTGCAGTACAAGTTGTTCACAATCTCGCTGTGTTATGTTGGCATAGTGCGGCTAACTCCATGTGAAAACAACAGAAAAGAAGAAGTTGCCAGGTTGTCAGCAGTCGTCTAGCCACACGCTAGCGAGTTTGCAGTTAGATGACCACTAGCTGCGGCAGTCTCGAGCCGCTACTGTTAAAATCTTGTTCTACCCAAGTTCCCTATATTTCTACAACTACGTTGTAATATTTTACGAGATGCCAAGCGCTACCAACGCTTTCTATTGCTCGTCATTCCATACCGACTGCCTGCTCCTTGTCGCAGTTCCCCGTCTGGGCATGGTGCCCTCACTGTGGTTCCCTGTTCGGTCTAGCGCCGCACTAGCCGCTTTACCGAGCAGAGAAAGCAGCGAGTTCTGACCAGACCTAGTTAGACCGAGTATTAGAAGAACCGAGAACGGTGATCATAGTCGATGAAAGTCGACCGAAAGAGTATATCCGAGGTATGCTAATATTAAAAGCCCAGTTCTCCCCATGTCGTCGCTCCAACAAGTACACGATCCACGACCTAAATGGCTGACCCAAAAGCGCAGTCCCTGCACGATTTTGCAATCCTCAGTATAATCAATGTCTTTGGATTGCTTTACTTTTACCCTTTTGTGATTCATTTTCTGCTCTTCTATTTCCCCTCACCCCCCGGAGGAATTTTAGGCACCCTGTCCGTGCTAGCCTTTTGATCATCTTCTGGTGCTCATCCAGCCCTTCTACCGCTTTCTAGATGCTCTCCGGGGTAATGATGCGGCAGAGTGGCAAAAGCTGGAGTTTGGAGCCATTTTAGTCCTGATCTGGGCGACCACCCTTCCTTCAGTGATTGTGTTATTCCGCACCGAACCCTGCCTCCAGCTCGGATACACATCTGCCTTCACGGTTGTTGCTGTCGGGATTCTGGTGGACTTTGTAATCTGCGATCCCAGTTCCTATGCAGCGCAGTACCGGTTTCCGTACAGCTGCGTTTCATTAGGCTTACTTTCGCTCATACCAACCATTTATGCCCTCACTAGGACGTTCCAGAATGCGCCCTCATTAGCCATACACCTCGGCCGGATGGCCATCTAGAATTTTATTGGCGCTACATTCTATCTGTTTCGTCCGTTAGAAAGGATTGTCGTGGTGAATGGCTGGCAGCCCAGTCTCTATATGATGCGTTTAGTCCTAGCCTACAACGCCGTCACTTATTCGAGGGTTATTTTACATGCGGTGACTCAGAACGCAGCTTAAGCTTCATTACGTTCTATAGAAGGTGTGGCAGACTACAAAGTAGGACGATCGCTCACATACTAGGTCCAGGGTGAACTAGCCGTTTATTAGCGTGAGCAGAACATTTGATAATCACTTACCTCTCATATTTCCTTCGATTGTCGATCGAAAAGGCTATATCCCTAATCTTGAAACCTAGACCATTCGATGTTCTTCATCTGATTACAATTTATCGCGACAGCCGAGATCTTATGTACCTCGGATCGCTAACAATCTGTATATATATCTGTGACCTAAACCCCGTATCGGAGATCTCCCAAACTGCCCCCCAGACTAATTGATTGTTTGTGTGAGGAGCTCACGTATACATAGAGGTATACAGCGTCTCGAGATAAGCAATCAATATCAAGAACAATATAGTCGACACTAGATACAAGACGTAACGCGAGGAAGCCTATCACTCTTCGCGTTCAGGGGAACCCGTACATACCATATGGGTCTCGCGGATCATATCTCCATTCACCCTATATGCTTCATGTATATTTTGGCAATTTACATACTACTTACTGCGGTGTCTGGCTCGAGTGTAAGTAGTCTTATCCCTCATACACGACAGTAGACGTGTGGTTTTTACCAGGTCAACCGACCACCCTATAGATAAACCCTATCACCCGGTGCCTTAGTCCTAGTGACAAACTTGTGCAGTGAAGTTCGACACTAAGATTGCACCTAAACGCAAGAGATCAAATTTCCACTTCTATTTTCTCTCTGAGCAAACGGCCTAATGCCCATTGATGTGTAAAGGTTGGATGTCTACACCGGGTCAACATAAGTCTCGCTTGAACTACTACTGTCACCTATTTTATAGGACGTGGCCCTTAGGTAAACTTGTGCAGTCTGTTGTGTTTTACAGGTGGACCGTAGTGATAATCGTTTCGACCGCGACTGACCGTTTCAACCACCACCTAGTCCGTCACCCCACGTGAACCGTGCGCCGACATGACCTATTCTGCCTCTTGAACGCTCTTATTATTTTATATCGAACAGCTCCTCGGTCTACCTTTCCTCATATTCTGGTTGCCAATTTCGGTGAGGATACCCGGCCACCGCTGTGGTCAATTGATTGGTTGCCGCTCATGGCGAACGACCAACCTTAATAATGCACTTCACAAGACTTGGCGGCCTGCGGGTTAAGAACGGTTACAGAAACGGTACTGAGCCTGTGTATAGGGACGGGTGAAATAGCTTGCCAACGCGACGCATGACCCGCGTATATTGAACATATTTGCTCAGCGCGAATGTCTAGGCAACTTGACTGGGTGCTCAGATAGATGCGTGCTTATAAGCCTCTTATTGTCTAGAGCGGATGAATGAAGTGAGCACAGAAGACAATGCTAGAGACCTTACCGTGTGAGATTCTGATGCTAATCGCAGATTGGGTAAGTTCCAGCGTGTTTGTTTTGTTTGGTCCAGGCCTTGACCGCCCGTCAGCTGCCAGCTACCACTCTACGCGTTCTCAGCCGCGCCTCGTCCAGATTGTATGCAGTTTTAGTTCCTCGAATATACCGTACAGTTTCATTCTATACAGCAAGTGAATGGGCGCTGAATGTGTTGGATGTCGACCCCTTCTTTCGCCATTTCGGTCCTTCACGAGCCGCGGACTATCTCCAGCACACGCGGCACCTACAAAGCAGGGCTCCATTCCATCTTATTTGCTTTAATCGATGTGCATAGGCAGCAGCCCCAGGAAGTTGGGCGCAGAACATATGAAACCTCAAGTACATCGCCTGAGTTTCGGTGGGGTGAGGGATCTTGCATGGCCTCAGCGAACTTGATCGACCCCTCGAAAAAGGTGAGCGTTGTAAATAGCAAACCAATCCTTGTACGACTTCAAATCCCACACAAGGCGGAAGTTGTCGCGAAGGTCTGGATGATTCTTTTGCGAAATAGCGAAGTCTGAGAGCAAGATTCTGTAGTCACTACTGATATCGGCTGGTAAGCCAGGCAGGTTGGCGAAAAGGACTTTGAACTCATCGTCCGAGATAGAGATCACAGGCATCAACTTCGGTTCGACACGGAGAAGCTCGCGACGAGCGGCGGTTTCATCATTGAAAGAGAGGGAGCAGACCTCGTCGAACTCAGTTGGATGGTCCGGCAAAACGAGGATGGTGCAACAGGATTGTCCAAGCAGGTTAGGGACGACAGCCCTAAGTCCCTCCGGCAAGCGAGGAAGGGCAGCGCGAATGCCGGCAATTTTTTTGGATGACCCCAGAGCAGCAATTCTGACAAGCCGAGAGGCGGCGGGATTGTCGACAAAAGTGGAATGAAGCTTTGCCAAGGTAATAATGGCGATGACCAGGCCCAGATGTTCGGAGGGTGGCTCGCACGCGGCGAGCATACTCCACAAAGTCGAGTACCAGTTAGACTTTCGAGGGTCATCTGGAGCCCCATATTGGCGACGGAGACAGACTTCCGGAGGGGCAATTGCTTGGGGAGGCCATCCTGGCCAGGCCATGACGTTCGGAGATAAACGATTGGAAGATGCGAAGCCATGAATCTAGATGACGATAGGGAAGAATAAGATGAGAAGAGATGAATCAAACGTTTTGAGGTCAATAAGTAGTCCTCAGAACAGACCAGATCAATATCATCGCTGCGATGATCCCATCGCGATGATCGATCCTCTTGCTTCATTGGCCGGTGAGTGACTGAACACCAGCCGCGAGATGAATCAATCGATTCTAACACGTGGTTAGCCGGGCTTAATCAAGCTCCAGCCGCAAGAGGGGTTGATCCTAACGTGTGTTTGGTCGCCAGGTCTGAGGGTGAGCCCTCATCTTCCTCATGTGTGAGGATGAGCATAGTATTCCATGGATATTCTTATCATAGGAGTCATTGGCGATATATCATGTAGTATCGCTGCCGGAATGTGCAGGCGTTAGGCTCGTGACGCTTCAAAATCTGGATTCATTAGTAAAATAGTCAACCTGAAACTACTTTTTTCGGACCTACTCACAGTAGCAATCAGCCAAATTCCAGTAGAATTTGATATGTATGATCAAGGTTTGAAGCCCATATCCATGGATCATTGTAGACTGCTGAAAACATTCTACGTATGTATGGATGGGCGTTTGGATTCCATGGAAGCTCGGACTAAAGCAACCTTGGAAAGAGCCGCTAGTCTATATTCGGCTAGCGTTCGTGAAGCTACAGCACCCGACCGGTACTCGGACTATAGTTTATCCGATACAAACCGTTCCCGCAGAATTTCAAAAATACCTACTTTGTACGTAGGTATGGATCTTCCACCTGGACCCGTAGACCCCCGACCACAGATTATGTATTTATGGAGTCTAGCTAGGTAAAATATTGAATCAGAGGGGAAAAACGGTGCTTATGGAATGGATACATACAAGTACGTATGTCGTACTACAATTCCGTTCACTCACTGGGACCAGTCCGGCTCTTGGCTACACCAAGGGGGGGTAAAGGTGTTACCTTTCCATACTTTCCCTGTATACGTGCTATTATTAGCTATATAGAGATCGAGGAAATGTATGTCTTGTGAATTTTGTGAATTTTGTGCTTCTTATGGGCGTGCCATACAAAAGATGTCTAAACTTGAAGATTTACTGGGCCTTAGTTGACTGGGGCGCAACATCAGACCTGGTCTCCGTACCTACAACATCCATTACCGAGCACCTATCTACAATTACAAAGGACATCAAGCCTCGGCCCTCCAGGGCTCCAGGCCTGGCTAATTATTATTAGTCAAATCCTAGGGCCAGATCCCTGAGAGTGTACAATCCAGCATTTCTCATACGCCCCGACGAATAACCTTCTCCAACATCTAGATTGGCCATTTTGTCAGCGCAGTCATATGTTGTAGTGAGGGTCGAACACCGGAATCCAGCGCGCCTCGGCGTATTCCGCCAATGAATTAGTGATTTCCCCGCACGCCCCGGATTTTTTGGCTGGATGGCCAATGATAATGTGAAGAAATTTAAATTCGCGTCATCTATTCTATACCTTCTTTTCCCATCAAACTCGCAAAGCATGGAAATAATAACCCCAAACGTAGAAGCTGCTTAATACACGACCCGTCATTGGGTCCACCCGTGGAGAGCTTGTAACATTTAAACTGCGGGGGCGTCCTCTGCCCGACATTTTTTCTTTCTCTCCATATTCCTCGTTTTCTTACCATAACAACTTACACCATGAGCGAATGTCCTGTTGCGCACAAGAAGAGCAATGTTGCTGGAGGTGGCACCCGGTATGGCCCCCAGTTCTCCTGTGATCCTACCTCGGCACATATTATTTACCCCTTCGCATCGCTATGGTTCGAAATACTGATCTTATGCCACAGCAACACTGACTGGTGGCCCAATTCCTTGAAGTTGGGTATTCTCCGCCAGCATACCGATGCCACCAACCCTCAAAGTAAGGACTTTGATTATGCCGCTGCTTTTAAGACCCTCGATTACTGGGGCCTCAAGAAGGATCTCCACGCCCTTATGACCGACTCTCAGGAGTTTTGGCCCGCTGATTTTGGTCATTACGGTGGCCTTTTCATCCGAATGGCCTGGCATAGCGCTGGAACATACAGAGTCTTCGATGGACGCGGTGGTGGTGGCCAGGGCCAGCAGCGTTTCGCACCATTGAACTCTTGGCCCGATAATGTCTCTCTCGGTAAGTTTCCCATTTATAATCGAGGTGGTTTTATATGATACTAATATGTGTCTTCTATTTCCAGATAAGGCCCGCCGACTGCTTTGGCCCATCAAGCAGAAGGTGAGTACTATACATGGACTTGTATAGTTCAAGATTTCTCCATACTAATTCCACTACTTAGTACGGCAACAAAATCTCCTGGGCAGATCTTCTGCTTCTAACTGGCAATGTCGCATTGGAATCCATGGGCTTCAAGACATTCGGCTTTGCCGGAGGTCGTCCCGACGTCTGGGAAGCCGATGAGTCGGTGTACTGGGGAAGCGAGAACGTCTGGTTTACTAATGAGGCTCGTTATGAGGCCGAGACCCCAGAGGAGAAGGCTAAGCAGAGCGATATCAAGACTCGCGATCTCGAGGACCCACTGGCGGCGGTCGTCATGGGTTTGATTTATGTCAACCCTGAAGGCCCCGATGGAAACCCGGACCCTGTCGCTGCTGCCAGAGATATCCGTATCACATTCGGCCGTATGGCTATGAATGACGAAGAGACCGTCGCCTTGATTGCCGGAGGCCACACTTTCGGAAAGACGCACGGTGCTGCCCCTGCTGATAATGTCGGAGACGAGCCCGAAGCTGCTGGCATTGAGTCGCAGGGCCTGGGATGGCACAACAAGCACGGCTCCGGTGTAGGCGCCCATGCTATTACCAGTGGTTTGGAGGTGACCTGGACAAGTACTCCTACCAAGTGGAGTAACAGCTTCTTGGAATATCTGTTCAAGTTCGACTGGGAGTTGACCAAGAGTCCCGCTGGTGCTAACCAGTGGGTGGCCAAGAATGCGGGCGATATTATTCCCGATGCCTTCGACTCGAGCAAGAAGCACAGGCCTCATATGCTGACCACCGATCTTTCTCTGCGCTTCGATCCAGCCTACGAGAAGATATCCCGTCGCTTCCTTGAGAACCCTGATGAGTTTGCCGATGCCTTCGCCCGTGCGTGGTTCAAGCTGCTGCACCGTGACATGGGTCCTCGTGATCGCTGGCTGGGCCCTGAGATCCCAAAGGAGGTCTCTCTCTGGGAAGATCCTATTCCTGCTCGCACATACGCTCTGATTGACAATGGCGACATCATTGCCCTGAAGAACGAGATTCTCTCCACCGGTATCGAGCCCACCAAGTTGATTGCCACTGCCTGGGCATCAGCTTCTACCTTCCGCGGTGGTGACAAGCGTGGAGGCGCCAACGGTGCCCACATCCGTCTCGCTCCCCAGAAGGACTGGGACGTCAACAACCCAGCCCAGTTGCAAGAAGTCCTCAGCGTGTTGGAGAACATCCAAAGCCGCTTCAACAGCGCTCAGAACGGCGAAAAGCGCGTCTCGGTCGCCGATCTGATTGTGCTTGCTGGATCTGCTGCCCTTGAAAGATCCGCGGGCATCCCCGTTCCCTTCACTCCTGGCCGCAACGATGCCACTCAGGAACAAACCGATGTCGAGTCGTTTAGCTGGCTCCGTCCCTTCGCCGATGGTTTCCGCAACTACGGCAACTCCACTCGCCGTGTCCGCACTGAGCAGCTCCTCATCGACAAGGCGCAGCAGCTGACCCTCTCTGCTCCTGAATTGACCGTCCTGCTTGGTGGTCTGCGTTCTCTGAACGCTAACTGGGATGGATCAAACTACGGTGTCTTCACCTCCCGCCCTGGCCAGCTGAGCAACGACTTCTTCGTCAATTTGCTCGACATGAGCACTGTCTGGAAGCCAACCGACGCTGACAGTGAGAGGTTCGAAGGTTTCGACCACAAGACTGGCGCTAAGAAGTGGTCTGCTACCCGTGTTGACCTGATCTTCGGTCACCACGCTGAGCTCCGTGCTCTTTCTGAGCTGTACGCTAGCTCCGATGCCCAAGATAAGTTCAAGAAGGACTTTGTTGCTGCCTGGGACAAGGTTATGAATTTGGACCGTTATGATATCCCCTGTTCCGCTGCGACCGGCCGTCCTCGTCTGTGAATGATTCGTCGACTACTATCCATGGATATTTTCTGTACTGTTACTTAGCAGAGTCATCACCAATCAATTTTAATTTTAGTATGACTGCCTCATTCACATACTCAACGTTGTTGAAAATTCTCCTGCTCCTCAAAAGTTGCCCTATTCTGCTGCCGTGGCTCCTTTACCCCCACGGGCCTAGAGAGTGAGTCGAAAATAATTTGGCTAACATGATATATCAGATTCAAAAGTAGCGACCTGCATTGATAAACCGGCATATTCCGTGAAAAGCAATAATTGCCCGTTATATCCGAATTGTGCGAGTGTGAATGCGACTGGACCGGCTTGTTACACCTAATATTTAATTCCAGACTACTGATGGGTGCACAGAGAATTCATTTCCCCTCCTAACTCTCTCTTGAATTATCACTACAGAATGGTTTTGAAAGTTCTCATTTGTGGCGGAGGTGTCGCAGGTCCGGCCTTGGCCTACTGGCTCGCCCGAATTGGTCACCAAGTTGTTATCGTTGAGCGTTTCCCAGCACTGAGAGCTACGGGTGCCCAGATCGACCTCCGCGGACAAGGCATCGAGGCTGTCAAACGCATGGGTCTCATCAACGCTGTCCGCAGAAAGCTTGTCGATGAAGCAGGCGTCTCCGTGATTGATGCCAAGGGCAATGTCAAGGCGAAAATCCTCGCCAACAAGTCTGGAAAGGGTGGACAATCCTTGACATCCGAGTACGAGATCATGCGGGGAGATCTCGTACGCATATTCTACGAAGCAACAGAAGACAAAGTGAAATATATCTTCGGCAAAACGGTGGACAGCTTCACGGAAAATGACCAAGGGGTAGTCGCGTACTTTTCCGACGGCTCTTCCGACACATTCGACCTACTTGTTGGAGCAGACGGACAGTGCTCGCACATTCGAAGAAAGATTCTACCCCCTGGTGCTCCGGACGAATATCACCAACTCGGGGTACACATGGCCTACTGGTTTGTCCCACGGATTGAAACCGACAGCAATATGTGCGAGTCATACCTCTGCCCGGGCGGCCGAATGATCATGTCAAGAAGCCACAATAAAACGGAAACACAGGTCTACTTCATGCTTAGATCTGACTCTGAGGAACTACGGAATATCCCGAAGGGTTCAGTTGGACAGCAAAAGCATTTTTGGGCCCAAAGGTTTCGCGACGCAGGGTGGCAGGCTGATCGTTTTATCGAAGGGATGAACACTACGGAGAACTGGTTCTGTCAGAATGTTGTCCAAATCAGGACAGATACCTGGCACTCTGGTCGGGTCGTGCTTCTCGGTGATGCAGCACAGTGCCCTTCTCCATTGAGTGGCATGGGGACAAGTGCCAGTCTGGTTGGGGCATATATCCTGGCTGGAGAGCTTGCTCGCAGTGAGGATCTGTCCCAGGCGTTCCAAAATTACTCCCAGACAATGCGACCATTTATCGACCAGGTTCAGCAGTCCAACATTGGGTGGATCCGATGGGCGGTCCCCAACTCGCAGTGGGAAATTTCGCTTGTTCATCTCATTATAGGACTGGCTTGCTTTCTTCGCATACCGCAGCTCATATCACGGTTTTCAGATGATGGGGATGGAGACTGGAAACTCCCTGAGTACCCGGAACTGATGAAGGCTTTCAGTAATATCCACGCTGTCACCTAAGTAATCGTGGCACAGACCACCACAACCTATCCCCACCTCCGGGACCGGCAATAATCCAGATCGCGTGTCTAATGATCATTAAACCCTCCTTTCTTTTACTTCGCTCTTTTTTAACATCACCCCAAATCCCATAACAAAATCGATTTCTTCCTATCAACCGAAAACATGATTCAAGAATCAGGGCAATCCCAGCCTGACCCGATAACCTCGGAAATAGCTCAGTTTCTTACACTACTAGTTATCTTTCCATGCGGACCGCTTGCAATGTGCTACTTGGGCGTTCCTATTGTGGTAGGAGTAAGTGGTATTATTTCTGCTTGATATTGTAACACCGGTTAATCTCGCCTAATAGACTGCTATGGCCGCTGTCCATGATGAGGATTATCAGACAGCATACTAGAAGCTAAAGGACTTAGCATTTCGTGAAATAATCTCTGAGCGCACAAATTCCCCCCGAGATATTGGCAGCGATCCCAGATCCTGATCAGGCGCTTGAAGAGGTCCAGAAGGAGTATCAATGTCTGGACAGATCTACTACCACGTTCGAATATCCAATTCATCACCACCTAGCTGGGAGTCTAAGCTGACTTTGGCCCCAAACTCGTTCGCAAATCTTCCAATCAGGTGTGACTGGTGACGTGACGCAGAGTACTGTCTCTACGAAGGGGTACGGCTTCTACGGCAGCATATGTCATCCACTTGAGGAGGCATTAGTTGAAAGTCTTGTTAAGGTGTTATTGACGATGAGAATGATGAGAATGCCGAGTTCTCTGGTTGGGGAGACAGATTGAGCACCTGGCTATCTATAATGTGTGGTTATCTCGAGGTCAATAATGATATCCTCGATAGTTGCCGAGATCAACGAGCAGTACAGTGGTTCAGTGTAAACTATGGTCGATTACACGAGGAAAAGTTCGGCCCCTGGGATAGACGTGTCTCAAAGCGATTAGGTTCCGGGCGAGAAATGCCGGTGGACATGAGGGGCAACCCATTACCCAAGTGAGCTCTACAGGAGCGATTTTGCTCGTACAATGCGCGGTATAGAAGCAGATCAGAGAAGCTCATTTACCTTTTAGGAATATCCGTATATTTCTGAAACATTATAAAATTGGGCAATGACCATATTTTGAGGCTCAGAAAACCATAGACCGGACTTGCGGCTATAAGATTTAATCACCTACATACCTAGGTACCTAGGTAACCCTTAACTGCCCAGTCATGTATATCTTTCTCCGGTGAGTTCTTGGCCTCTGCCCTTTACTTTCAAGTACACTTGTGATGCCGCCTCATGTTTACTCCTTTGAGCTCTTGTCGTAGATCTTGAACCTAAAATTGTACCTGAAACGGCCCCCGCTTTCATTGAGGAAAGATTTACATACAATGGGCATTCAATTTCAGACCTTCCCCAGGAAACAGTGTGGGCATAGACGGGGGATGCATTTTCGGATGTCCCAGGTTAACGAAGGGAACATGTGATCTTTTCACAATATCCTTCTGGGATACCTCAAATGAGACGATCCTTTCCTCTTTCTCCACGGTCGTTAAGAAACATCCCGAGCACCCTATCTTTGTTGCTTGCACTATATAGAATACTTGAATATAAAAGGGAGCTGTTCGCCTCCAGTTTCCTCTCCATCAAGGCCTTCTACATTATCAGGAACAGTCGAACCACAAAGCCTTCGTGTCTATTTTATATCGCAAGATGCAGCTCCTTTCTATTGTCGGTGCCATGGCACTCGTCCCTGCAGTGCTCTCATCTCCAGTGACAGACTTCAAGAGACTTGCGGTCCGGGCTGATGATCGGGGCCACCAAACTATTTCTGGCCTCGGAGCACGCAAGCAGGAGCTGGTTGCTGCTGGTGGCAACACCCGTGACTTGGCTATTGCGATGCTGGAAACGTTAGTTCATCTATCATCTGATTCTGATATAGCACAGATGACTGATAAAAAGCAGGAACGACATGACGACGGATTACAAATATGGTATGTACAGGCGCTAACCACTTATGGAACCAGAAAGTAGGGTGTTGACCGTCATGCTTACAGGTGACGGAAAGACTGGAGACGGCACAAACTTCGGTGTCTTCAAGCAGAATTGGTTCATCCTGCGGCACTCTGCATCCGAATTTCTGGGACAGACTGTCGCTGATGTTGACAATGGGGCCATTCTCAAGTAAGTCCTTTAGTGGCTTATAGACTGTCCCAATTATGTTGGCTGATGCTCTGGTGCTAGCTCCGATCTGGGCAAAGACATCCAAGCCCGCCACGAGGGTGAAAAACATTACGGATATGAAACCTGGTTTAGTGGCCACCGCAACGGGGAAAGTGGTATCAAGAACCCTGGCACGGATGATATCAATGGTGAGTTTTCCTATCCCATGAATCGCTTGACCTATCTCACATCGTGGATAGCATACATCGATGCCATTGCATGGATTCAACAGCAGATTGAGAGTGACGAGAAGTATCAGTCGGATGATACTCGGTTCTGGGTTGATGTGCAGGCAATTTAGGGCATGACTGGAGAAATCTCGAGGTCACACTACCCCCCTCCCCCAGGGATAGGGACCCCTCAGGTTAGGGACGCATTTGGTTGAGCTCTACCCTCTGGCAATTTTACTTCTTACGCTCCTTTGATCATAACCACTTTTGCAACTTTTCTACGCAAATACTATCGTTCATCGAAGAACTTTTGGACGGCCGAGACACCGAGCTATAAAGTCCAGATCGCGACTCAACGTAAGCGATAGAAAGCTTTCTTGGCCGTTCATCCGAGGAACAGCTAGTAGAGGAGTATTATAAAGAGTCTGGCAATCGGTTTTCTATACAGGTCTATCGGGATGCTGTCGATGGGAATAAATGGCGAAGCTCGCATATAGTTAGGAAGGCGCAGTACCTCTTTAATGTCTACATGTATCTATAAGAAGCTTGTCTCTGGACTCCCCATTCTATAAAAAAACAACAATGTACAATAGTAACCTCCTAAGAATTTATCAGCCTCTTTACTATAAATAGATAGCTAGCGAAAATGCCTCAGACACTTTAAATCTTCACCTTTCCTAGCTCGATACTAGTACCACGAAGTGTAGTCCCACAGCATGAACACAAGCATGATATGGGGCTGGAACCAAATATGTACCACAGCAGCCAAGTGAACTCATAGAATTCATTCAGCTATGACCTTTTGGTCGAATGGGTAACTCGTGGAGCAGTGGCCTCCTTATCTCAATATTCTTTAGGTCCAAAGGAATAACGCTACCCGAATACATAAGATAGCGAGTAGTGAATAGATCTAATGTTGTAGTTAGCGCCTAGCTCTTAGGGACGTGGTTAGGGAGGGTTATAGAGATCGTCAGGTCTACATGTCCAATAAGGGGTACATGGCTTGGCAAAATCTGCTTATCCCATCTATCCCCTACAGTAGCATTTAGCGCTTCGGCTTTTGGATACGCCGTACGTGTCAGGCTTCACCGATATGGATACATCATGTTAGCCATCGGAGCGGTGAATCTATACAATTTTTCGTTTCTGTACAAAGTACTTTATTGGCAAGACTCCGTGAACGCTCTGCTCTGGTCACTCCTTGTTCAGTCCGACGGGATGCCAAGCCTCAACATCAACGTCAATCCCATTCCCATTCTTCTCTTTCTCATACATATTGTAGTTATCTTCAGCTCAATCGTCATTACAAATGCCCGAATTCATCCGTGGTCTGGACTCCTATTGCGGCGCGCCACGAGCGAAAAGGAAATGTGATCAGTGCACAAATTCTGGCTGGGTTTCTTTGTTGTGATCCCGAGAATCCCTGTTTGGCGCGCCGATAGTCTCTCGACATTTGACCCTTCGTTTGCCATGTTCAATAGCTCTCCAATCAACATGATTAAGACTGGAATTCTTCTGGGATCCTCACGTTCCCAGAGCTCATTGCCACCAATAGCCGATTCGGAATCCTTCTGTGATCATTAATTGTCTAATGAACCGGAACATCTGGCACAGATCCCCGTGAGCTAGCGTCATAGACCGCATTTGCCGCTTTTTCTCTCATTTATGTGACGGGGCATGACTCGTCAGTGGCATAGCCCTCAGGACCAACTGTCAACCTTATCCCGTTCCACCCCGTGGCCTAAGATGAGAGGCCCAAGGCATGTCTCCATTATCATAGTTCTGTCAGCCAGGTGGGACCTGCATCTGAGCTGTGATCAATATATCTTTTTTCCCTTTCCCAACGGTTGATTTATCCGCTTGGCCCAACCCATTCACACGCCATGGATACCGCAATGACCAGCCTCCCTCCGGAGGTGAGCGCCATTCTAAATACCAACTTCACAATCGTCCAGGTTGTGGCTATGTTCTCGATCGGAGCGTGGAACTCATTAGAAGTTGTGATTGGCATATTCGAGAGGTTCAAAAGGTACCGTGGGCTATACTTCTGGAGCATGCAAATTGCGGCATGGGGAATATTGTTACATGCCATACCAGCTCAAGTTCGCTATACCACCCAGGCCAATTCCGTTTCTATGTCAGTCCCGTTTCTCTTTGGCTGGATTTGCATGGTGACCGGACAAGCGGTAGTGCTGTACTCAAGATTGCATCTCGTTGTGTCCGACGTGCGTCATGTACGATGGGTACTATGGATGATCATAGCCAACTTTTTCATTCTCCACATTCCTATGACAGTCCTATTTTTTCTCAACGTTGGCAATATATCGCCCGGCCACGTATTGGTAATCTACGACCATTTGCAGACAACAGGATTCGCCATCCAAGACACAGTAATGTGTGCCATCTACATCCGCGAAGCACTCAGAGCGCTCAAACCCGTCTTCGAATTCAGAGGCACCCAAGGGCGAAAGATCATCTACAGAATCCTCTTCGTTAATCTCGTCGGGATCCTGCTCAACGTATGCATCCTTATCGCCAATTACAAAGTCCACTACATCGTCATCAGCTTCAAGACAGTCGCCTACAGCATCAAGCTGAAGCTTGAATTCCACGCCCTCACACAGCTCCGCGAGTTGACACGCACATACTCATGCACTTTGTGCCAAGGGGTTAATGGTAACCCTCGTGGTTCAAGCGACATCAATCTCTTCCACATGCTCGCAAATAATCCTCCGTCGCAGGATACTGAGGCGCAAGCTAGCTCCAGTGCTGCGGGGACTGCGACCCCGGAGCCGCGCTCAGCGAGCAGCGGAACATACGATTTCCACGAGGCACTTCGCCAGACGATGCCGACTGTGGACTCTGTGGAGGCGGAGGCAAGTGTTAGGCCTCGGATGCACTCGTCTGATACGCAATCTATGTGGAAATGACATTGCTCGAGCGCCCAAAGTAAGAGCAGGTGTTAATATCTTTGAGGACACTATTTTGCATGCATGATTGTACATACTACAAGATGAAAGACTATGTACCGTCGAATCATCACTGGGCGGCCACCGTTTTCGCTTTATACCCTTGTCGCTATAGACATGCTTGTTGTTATTTCTATGTGCGTCCATTTGTATTAATTTCTGAGGCTTGAAAAGCTTGTACACATTCTTCTAATTCATCGATTGAATTGCTGTATAGCGTCCATCTCCTAGATCGACATTGGAATGTATGGCAGAGCATGACGTAGTTCCAGTGCAACAGGAAGAATAGCATGAATGTGACTTCATTTTGAACGAAATCACGAGAAATGCCGAGATGAAAAATTACCAACAGAGCCAACACGCGTTGTAGTGCTTACTTCTGCATATGGAAAACAGTTCATGCAGATATAACAAAGAGACTCGTCACGTTCATCGAAGCTATGACCCCTGATGAATGTCCAATAGGGAGGATTGTCTGAAAATGGGGAAATGATGTCAGTGCTCGAGATCCAGTACGTGGTCACAGTGGATAATAAACAAGAATGGAGTGACGGCAGGGGATGACTGAATGCCTAAATGGACACGGGTGGTTTCTTTGTTTTTGAGCCATCGAACCGTTTAGTGACAGGCAAACCAGCCACCGTTCTCCGATTCGGTATTGGAGGGTGTTTATTGTCGCAATGTAATAGGCTTTATGGCACAGCCATTGAACCCTGTGTAGATGTAGTTCTCTCGTGTCTCATCTCGTTCTAGGAGGTCGATGGCCACTGTTATATATAATCAACTGTGACCGCTCCCTACCAAGGCTGCAAGCGATTCCTTTACCGACTCCGACGAGCTCACTTGACTGGGAATTGCAACGCTCTCCCCACAAGTCCATCGTATAATCAGCTGGATATTGCAGGTATGCTAGTGTCCCATGTTATAATTAGGGGAAAATGCTTGGATAACTTGGGAATGGCTATATTTAAGCTGCTGAAACTTGCTAGCTGAACAACTTTATATTGACATACTCACTTTCCCATCTAAAGAAGATACCGGAAACTCTCAATTTCGCGATCCGTCTTGTTCGATAGCTCATCCTGTAACTCAGATCCTACAGTCATCTGCTCAGGCGAGCCATACAACCTGTCTCGTCGACGGTTCTCCCATATGTAGTAGGAATATAAGCACATAAGGAAGAAAAGGCTCAAAACCAAGCCAGACATAGAAGCTCTAATTCCAGTCTATAGTAAAAGAGAATACGTTAGTTTCGTATTTTGAAATGGAAATTCTAGCAGGAATAAAATGGCCACTTACTGGGTACGATGGCTCCTCCGAGGCAAAGAAAAATTGAGGCCCCACGATATTTCCAACGCAGTATGCGATAAAAAGCAACGAACTCACGACGCTCTTCTTCGAGAAACCGGCCACATTAGATGTAACGATACTCAACGAGATGGGAAGGTTGATCGCATAGACCACGGCTAACGTCAACCCAACCATTCGCCCAACTTGATTGTCAGAGTCAAGCTTCCAGATGAGTATCAAGCCCACAATAGAAATGACTGTGTTGAGACACATCCCTAATATACGGGAAGATGGAATAAAGGTCGCGGTGATTGAGGTAATCAGCAAGAACACGATCTGGGCGGCTCCCTGAGGCATTTGCATAATAAGGGCCTTTAGATCAGTGAACCCGAACCCGGCGGTGATAATGGATGTAAACTAAAGCAGCATAAGTTTTGAGCTTTAGGGACAAGAAGGTAAATACTCACGCTAGTAAGGCCACCATTGGCCAGGTTCGAGGTGAAAGAGTTCACAACCAGCAGCCATGTCTGGGGATCCTTTATGGCTTGGAGAGCCTGCGACCACTTGAACACGCCGGTATCCATGACTCCGGTTTTGTTCTTTAGGGTCCGCTGCACAGCAATAACACGCTCATTTGGCTTCAAAAATATGGCCTTGGCGGGCGAGTCCGGTAGCAGGGCAAGCAATACAAGACCATAAGTTGAAGTGATGGCGCCGAGAATAAGGAACAACAGTTTCCAGTGGGAAATTACTGATGTATTAATAGTTCCGATACCGTAGGCAATCACTCCACCAATTAGTACAGCGAGACAATTTCCGAAGAACCAAGCGGATTGCCTGGACCTTGTTAGCGAGTCCTAACTGCAACTCGATTCGAAGACATACCGTAAAGGCTGTTCCTCCCGTTTATAAAACATCCCTGTGAGCAAGGTGAATCCCGGCGCAATTGACGCCTCACCTGCCCCCAAGAAAAAACGGACTGTCATAAGTCCACTCCAATTAGAGCAAGCAGCATGACACATCAAGATCCCACCCCAAAGGAAGCTTGTATAGTTAGTCTCATCGTTGGCGCTATGGGTCCTTCACTGGGGATGGACTTACACGGAGACTCCGATATATTTCCCAATAGGAAGCCGGACGATAATATATGAACTAGGCCTGTTGTGGGATCAGTATTCGTAATGGGAGGTAGAGGTAGAGGGAGATTCGAATACACACCAACTCCAGGCAAAGTAACCAAAATAGAAGATCGCAGATGCCCATGAATATTCTGCTCCGTGAAGCTTCTGTAACTTCCTATCAACATATATCCATCGCCCAACAGCCGTATAAGAATAAATACCAGATCTTCTCGTAGATTGAAGAGTGTCGCCTGACTTAGAGCGAGCTTGTCGAGGAATTGAAGGAAATATGCGACTCCCATCAATGGGACCAGACTTCCTTTAATCAGATATGTGCAGATTGGTATAATCCGAAATACTCACATAAGATCGAGCTTCCACAATACTCTCCGTTCCTCCTCAATCGTTGGTTGGATAGCGAGTACTTGGCCAAGATCAACGTCTCGGCCAAGTGACTCACTTCCCTTCATATCTTTCTCATCTAGGTTGGTCTCGTGTGGTTGCATCGCGAAAATGACACAGATGCGAGTTCACTAGATGAGGCACATTCAAGGCCTTCTTATTCAAACACGCAAGCCGGTATCGCTCCCGACTTCCTCGCCATCAAGTCTGCCGAACAAAGTTCGCTCGAACTTACTAGTCCTATGGCCGGTATCTTTCCGCGGTGGACTCTAGGCCATCATTGAAGGGGAAGCTTAGATGCCTCAACCAATTGAGACACATGGTTTAGTTCTAAGTTATCGTAGTTTCCCCGCGATCCTAATCCCGGAGGACAACTGAGCCTACTACGATGCTGTACCTAGGTAGGTAATAATCGCTCGGCACCCCACTTCCCCATAATCTGGTGTCAGTCAATCAAAATCCGGGGATTTGGTGTCAAGACGGAGCCGATCTTGGGGAGCGTCCACTTCCCCCTCAGCGGATGCTAAGCACGGCAATTGAGCTCGCTGTCGATCGTCCGCATTTGACATAGGGATCCAAGCGATGTGGCTATGTATGAACGCGAGGTGTCCGAGATACGCTAAGACCTCTCTATTCCGCGACAATTGCTAATATCTTTTGTACTAATAGGGGAAGTTTCAACGATGTGTCATTCACTTGCGCTTCAATTTCACATCACACTAAATCCAGCCTTGGAACATAGTATTGACAATTCTAAGCCTTCTCAAAGTCCGATTGGATGGCAGTGGCGAAACTTCCATCGACTAAAGCTCTACACGCCACCACGGCCATTCCCGCCGCACAGTGCAAACTACGCTTGAACCCATCCTCGGATCCAGCCCCGGCAGTAAATTGTGGCGTATGGTTGACACCATCGGCGTGAATATAGAATCCACCGTGGAAGCCAGGTACTTCATATGAGACGTTGCCTATATCGGAGTGAATAGTCAGCCTCCAGTCACACTGTGATGAACTTCAACACTCACCCATATCGGTTGACCCTCCGCTAAGACCTCCTACCTGCCCTGCGGCATCGAATATAGTACTGTGACCCATGGCGTTCATAGCAGAGACGTAGCTGTCACAGATAGGCTTATTGATCTTCATATCCTTATACGCGGCCTCCCTAGAATATGGATTAGCGAAGCGTATCAGAATATCCCCAATTACCATACCATTCGTATTCCACCGTGCAGCCAGTAGCAGTCGCAGCAGCCTCAAAGCATTTGACTACTTTCTCAGTCAATGGTTTCAATGTCTCTACAGTCTCCGATCGAATATAGTATTCAACCGTCGTAGAGGCAGGGATAACATTCGGCCTGTCTCCACCTCGCACAATAACCCCATGGATTTTTTGCGTAGACAGGATCTGCTGTCGCAGCATCGAGATGTTCACATAGGCAGACACCACAGCATCTAGAGCATTAATGCCCTGCCACGGAGCAGCGGAAGCATGTGCCGGCTTGCCAGTGAATGTCACCTGAACCTTGTCGTTTGCGAGGTACTGCCCGGTGCAGGAACTCGAGCTAATGAGATCGGGGGCGCCGGAAAGCACTGGGAATGGATGCACCATGAAACATGCGTCCACATCTTTGTACGCTCCCGCGTCGATAAGCATGAGCTTTCCACCACCACCCTCCTCGGCAGGAGTCCCCAGCAGCCGAACTGAATAGCCAATTCCATCGGAGTACAGAGTACCCATTGCCTCGCAGGTAGCCAGGAAGGCCGCGATCGAACTTGTCGCGATCAGATTGTGTCCACATGCATGTCCCATGCCTGGAAGCGCATCGTATTCTGCGTTGAAAGCAATGGTACGCCCGCCCTCGCCGCGGCTATAGATCACATCGAGTGCCGTCTCAATGCCATAGGCCTTTTTATGAATCTGGTATCCAGCACCGAGCGACTCAAAGAACTCGCAGATACTGTCGTGGGCGTTGTACTCTTTGAATGCCAGCTCGGGGCTGGACCAAATCTATCGAATATCAGTAATGTCATGGTGTGCTTTGCCAAATATGATACACACCTTTTGGTTGATCTCACTCAGCTTGGATTCATACTTATCCAAGGCCCCACGGACCTTGTCGATGATCTCTGCTTGTCCCTGTGCTGGTAACATCCTGTTGGATCACAAAAAAGTCTGAATTGTTCACAAGTGCTTGTGCTAGGCAATGCAACTTTAAAAGGGAAAGAAGTAAAGAAAAACAGCCAAGAAATGAACGCGGGTGCCGAACACCACCTCGCGAAGACCAGACATCAAAGACGCATCCCAAGTGGGGCCGCGGGGACGCTCTTGAATGATTCCGCAGTGGAGAGGCAATGCACGTCCATCAGTCTCATTCCAGCGCCCACTAAGATCCGGAATACCCCGACCCCGTAAACAGACTTGCTGAATGGCCCTGGACCGGTTTCTGATCCAAAAAGATCCGCATTTCAACGATCTGCAGGTCTGACTCGTCGCGGCCTTCCAGATCGAGGATATTGAACTCGCGCACACGAACTGCGAACTGGTCGGGGTCCTCCCTGAATGTCGTTTCGGATGTCGCCTCAAACATAACCGTGCGCTTCATTCGTATGTTCCCTGCTAGCGGGGCATAGAGCTGTCCTTTTTGGGCGGTCTCTTCGTCTGGGGCGGTCCTGTTGTACGACGTATGGACAGGGCCTGTGTCACTCCCAAGGTCTATATCCCAGGCGAGATAAACATGGTGGTGGAATTTGCAGATATGACGGCTGCGCACTTCAAGAAGAGGGACTGCCTGGTTTGCGGCTGTTGGTGGATCGCTGCCAATAAGGATGGGGGCGCTGGGTGTGAAGAAAGGGCCGATGGGAGTTTCGGCGGGCGTCAGGGAGTCCAGCGCTGGTAGGAATCGTCGGAGAAATTTAAGACCCGGTGAAGCTGTGGTAGGGATAGACTCGTAGGGACCATGGTGGATCGAGACGGTGCTTTCCATGCTGCATCGACTACGAAAGAAACACTTTTCTCGGATCTTTATCTTTTTCCAGTTGATTTTGATCTCTGATGGTGTATGTCATGGCGACGTAATATTGTCATTGAAGTAGTTACATCATGAGGCTGAAAATCAACGAACCGTGTCGATAGACGGCATTAGGTAAATTATTATTGCCATGTAAATCTGGCACATATGAACAACGCAGACCTAGGGTGGGACCTGGCGGAATTTTGCAGTGGTTTGGTTAAACCACATGGTATATTGTACAATCAGAAGGAATTGACAAGGCTGTTAGAATCTCGCGCTGGGATGAAGGGATCGACGAGCACCAGATTGTCGATGGGCTGAGAGAACTGCGCAAATGTTCCACTGGGCGAAATGAAACCAGGGGATTTCGATTCCAATTAGCGGGATTGTGTGTCGTTGAAGACTTGTTGACGCGATTTCCTTGTGAAGAACGGACGAAGCATGTGCATCCATCACTCCTGAAAATCTTCACCAAATGTGATGAGCGAAATGCCAGTTGGCAGAGTGAACGACCAAGCCCACTTAGTTGTGCCCTTCAAGGATCCGTTAAACCTTTGATCTAAGTGTAGAAAGATTGATGATCACCAGTCGGACCTCAAGATGGATGCAGGCTGTCGTCAGTCGACTGGGTAGATGGACGAATTCTGCGCTCGGAACTGGGCAAGCTCTCCATAGACAACGTATTCCAGCCTCTCCGTCCCGCCAATCGCGATTCCCTTGGGGCGGCATGAGTGATATCCGATGTAATCTGGGAAGGATCCACGAAGCCAGGGTATTCTTCGTGTTCGGACGAAGTAGGTTGCGATCGATGGCTGTGCACAAGATCGACTAGCTTTCCAAGCACACCGAACTCGAGCTTCAACTTGATGCTGTAGACCATGGCCTTCAATGTGGTCTGCAGCGAATAAAACCCAATGTATTCCACGAGGAGTAAACAAATATCGAGCAATATGATGACAAGATTGATGGTCAGCAACTCATACATGATTCTGGACCGCCGTCGGTCCTTGTCTGGCATCATTCTGAGAAGCTTCACAGTCTCGACAATGTAAATTCCCGAGATAACAATTTCTTGGGCACAGAACCAGGCCAATTGCATCCGCTCCATAACATTGTATCCACGAACCATTGGCGTAGTTGCAACGTATGCGGTAAGGAAGGTGAGAATGGTCGTTGGGACCAACAGAATGACCGCGTCGACGATAATCAGCCAAAGAACAAACCGAAGCACTGTGTTGCTATTGACCACCAAATGAAGGCGAGAGTATAGGACCAGCGATTGGCCTGGGACCATGACGTAGAAGCCAATGGTGGAGATAGTCAAAGAGAGCCATGCTGGGGCTAGAGAAAAAAACATAAGCAGATGGCCAATGGCATGAGGGATCACTCCGAGGAGGACCGAGAGCAGAAGCGTCCAAAAGTAGAGTCCACGGTAACGAGAAAAGGTCAAAAATATCAATATGAACAATTCGATGGCGTTGTATAATGCGATGGAGGTGAAGACAATCATCAATGTCCGCACTGGCAAAGTATCGTCACGGTGGCTATGCAACCCGACGGGAGAATGCGATAGGTCTGTCATGATCGCTGACTAAAGCAATTTGGCTAGGATATATATTCAATGTTGGTATTGGAAAGACCGTAAGGAGGGTATTTCATGCCCCGCTTGATGAGAACCCCGGTACACTTTGCTTGAATTCTACCAGCTCCGTAGCCATGATAGTTGTTCTAGTCCGAGATCATTTGCGCCAATGGCGTCTCTGCTGAGCCAAGAAGGTGTCGAGGGTTTGGACTCGCTAATCGGACAAAAATGGGGGGATTTCGGGAGGAAATTGAGATCGGTGAGAGGATCTGATCGCAAGTTCGTTTGCCGAAGAATGCGGATGTAACTCTGGAGGTTCTGAGGACGATGATGAGGTCAAGGACTCAATGCATGAAGCGAAGCCAAGTGAACGCCCAATAATGCAGTTATATTGTACAGTGAAAATAGTCGTAGTCGAGAGGGAAAAAAGAAGAAAAAGACGGGGCTATCCCCAGCCTATTTGCCCCCATGCCAAGCTAAGCCGAGAAAGGGAACCCTTGGGACCGCCACACGTGAACTTTGCACATTTTTCGTCTCTTTTCCAATTTTCTCCGTAGTGGGAATTAAATGGCGATCTACATAATTACAATCGGATGATCTTTTTCGATTCCTACTTTGTATTTCAAGTTGAGTCTATTGTCTATTCTCGTCTAGCCCGATTTGGGCTTAGTTGGCGAACTTTCACGGGAGTGGCAATGACTAGAGTGGCTAAAGTGGCTAAAGTGGTTATAGTACCTAGATCCAGCTATCTGTATTCTACATACGAACTTCTATTACGGAGTAAGGGAAACAAGATGGCTCGTAAAATTGCCGGAATCTGCAAGTTCTTGCGTTTTTGCGCTATTGCGCTAACCTCCGCGGAATCGGTTCTCTCTTACCATTGGTCAATTCCTCTGGAGAAATCCAATGGAAACCCACAACTTCGGAACCCGTTCGCTTTCCTCTATGGTCTCGTGACCTTACTTCAATGTTCCCAAGCCTGTTGCTCCCTCTGTACCCTCTGTACCTCTAGTTTAATCAGCACGACAATATAGTTATCCCGTATGCACTCCGTACGGAGTATGCATATGCGTCTTCGGCCCGTGCCCAAGGTCTCCCCATTGCAGATCTAGCCGCACAGGCCATAAAGAAGTGGTCACTCCGGGGTATCTCATGATAGTCGACGTGAAGAATGAGGTGAATGCCAATGACGATGAGTATGACAGCTGAACGATAGCGCCGTTGCAACCTTGCAACATATTTCCATATTTCCGACCTGTCATATTTCCCTCCCTGGACTCAGCTCTGAAGCGAAACCTCCTAGCTTCGAAGATCGATATCCTGCACTAGTCTCCCCTGATCGCAGTGTGGATCTCCATCGGCTTGAATCTTATTGTTTTCCATTCTCAGGTTTCTTGCGACACTGCCGACTTAATTTCTGCGATATGGAATCGGCAATAGTGAAAAAGGGTTGCTGCAGGCACTTCGCGAAAGGGTAAGTGTTCAGAAGGTACAGGACTCTATAAGAATCGACATGGATTTAATCCCCATGGTTACTATTCGAGCCATGCTGTGCGACAAAGAGCGACTTTAATCCCCTTTGTTATGGATACCATGTCGCACTTTTGCTCTTGGCGTGATACTAATGAATTAGCCTTTGTGTTAGCCTTTGTATGTATCCTGCCATATGTTGTACCTGTGTAGGTATTTAAGCTCGGCATGCACGACCCCTACAACATACAAGATATAACTTTGACCTGGGGAACGAACTTTACTGGCTTCGAAGGTCCAGTCAGCCGTGTGGATAAACAGATCCAATATTCTCTGAATATTTCAATCAAATCGCCATCCCTCAATCTCTAATGGTGGCGGTGTCCATTTCCTGACCCCACCTACTATTGGGCAGTTGGTAGGGCCCATGTGTTAGCAAACAGGTGGGTTCATAACGAATTTGCCAAGCAGTCAGACGTCTACAAGTCCACCTGCGTTATTATTGGGTCCCGAGATCCCTACAGGTGTACACCATATAACCCGTTTTAAGTGTGTTGGTTTTGTGCTAATGCGGGCAAAGAGGGGTACTCAGCTGGTGCGGGACATGCGAAAAAGCAAAATGTGACATATACCTGACGCGTTGCCCCTGACCTCAACCAATTTCTTTGCAAATTGCATTTGACGCTAGAAGGCTTCAAGATGGGATCAGAAAACAATTACGACTTTGTCATCGTAGGAGGTAATCATGCACCGGGGACACATGCAGTCTCTCATGCTCATCATTTAAATAGGTGGTCCAGCCGGTTGTGCCCTGGCTGTGGGGCTTGCCAAATCAGCCCAAAGACCTCAAGTCCTACTTCTCGAAGCGGGTGGGCGCAATGATGATAAAACTTTGCGAATAGACGGAAAGCGCTGGACGACGTTCATGGAAGAAAACCTGAATTGGGGTTACAAGACCACACCTCAGGAACATTGCAATGGGCGCGAGCTAGACTACTCCCGTGGAAAGGGTCTGGGAGGTAGCTCGGCAATCAACTTCGGGGTGTATAGTGTGGGCGCGCGGGACGACTACAATGAGTGGGCATCTGGGGTGGACGACGATACCTTCGGATGGAAGGAGATGCAGACCCGCTTCAAGAATTTGGAGACCTTCAACGCCGGTGTCACACTTGCGGAGAACAAGAAATACGCCAATTCGGTTGCTTCCGATCACGGCAATTCGGGTGCCCTGCGCGTCGGGTACGCAGAGGATTGGGAAAGGGACTTATCGCTTGCGCTGGATGCATTCGAAGCGGCTGGACACAAGCTCAACTTGGATCACAACTCTGGCAATCCACTCGGCATGGCCGCCACTATCAACTCCGCTTACAAGGGAAAGCGTACCACGGCTGCTGACTTGCTTTCGGGTGCTCCTGATAATCTTGTGGTTGTCACAGACAGCCCAGTACGGAGGATCTTGTTGCAGGGCAAGAAGGCTGTTGGAGTGGAGACCCAGGGCAAGCAGTGTATGTCTCATTTTGGAATTGCACCGTTGACCTCATCTGACGTGGATTACAGAGTTCGCTTCTCGGGATGTGATTCTCTCCGCAGGCTCACTCGACACCCCGAAGATCCTGATGCATTCTGGAATCGGACCAGCTGCAGACCTTAAGAAATTCAACGTTCCAGTAGTGAACGATCTCCCCGCTATTGGCCAGGGTCTCCGAGACCACTACTTTGTTCCTCTAATTCTGGCCCGTAAACCTGAGACGAACGATCGCAATTCATTCTTCCAAGATCCCGCCGCCATGGAGACTGCAATGAGACAGTGGGAAGATGACAACACCGGCTTGTGGACGCGATACGGCTGCCAGGTCGGCAGTGGCTGGTTCAAATCAGACCGCATCACCTCCTCGCCCGAATTCAAAGCACTCCCAGCATCCGTGCAAGAATTTATGAACCGCGAAACCGTCCCCCACTACGAGATGGCCAGCCACCTACCCTTCCATTTATTGATGCCCGATATGTTTAAAGATTACAGCTATCTTGGTCTCGCGGCATTCATGATGAACGAACAATCCCGCGGCGAAGTGCGCCTGCAATCCTCCGACCCAGAAGTTCCGCTGCTATTCAACCCGCGATTTCTCGAGGATCCCTTCGATCGTCGCGCCTGTATCGAGATCTATCGACACCTGTTGGAAGTTAGTAGACAGGAGTGCTTTGCGAAGGACACTATCTCCACGCTCATCGGGCCCGCGTCTGATTCCGACGAGGACATTCTCCAGTTCTGGAAGAACTTCCTCTCTTCTAGCTGGCACATGACCGGCACAGTGAAGATGGGCAAGCTTGATGCCGGTGACGCTGCTGTTGACACGCATTTCCGCGTGCAGGGCATGGAGAAACTCCGCGTTGCTGATATGAGTGTTGTTCCTGTTCTCACTAACAATCACACACAGGCTACTGCTTACGTGACTGGTGTTACTTGTGCTGAGGTTCTTATAAAGGAATATGGCCTTGATAAACAGTAAATGATAAACAGTATATCGTGCTATTGGCGGGTCAAGCTTATTCAATAATCTTGGTCGCCACGATAAGAATCGATCTACGAATAGATGAGAACGACGATTTTTCCATGAATCATTGCTACCGGGCCTCTAGACTGAACGGGCTTTAAGAAATAAGGATACAGGGATATAGCCTGGGCCCAATGCTGTTGCATTTTCACTTCTATCGCATCCCAGTTTTGTTTCTCAACCTATGCTGCTGCATAAGAATGCATGGACGCCCGGTTTTTCTGTTGCATCACATAGATCCTCAGGAGTCATGTATAAGTTAATGACTTCACTCGAAGTGACCCGACTTCGCCTGTGAGAACGGGCATGTAGCCACACCTCTCCCTTTGATTACCTCGATATCCGATCTCATCTCCTCCGCTCCATGCTCCTTCTGTGGATCCGGCCCGATCGTCATCAAGTCGTATCCTCCTGGTTGGTATCGGTCTCCTCGCGACCCGGGCACCTTTCCTCCCAGCACTCTAACCAGCAACGCGCCGAGTCCCCATCTTGACCAGAACGTCGGTCGGACGTACCAGGGCTGAAGGGTTTTTCTTTGGAAATTATAAAGACGCGTCTCTGGGTTTGGCATGTCGTGTACTAGTTTAACAGCACTGGACGAGGACCGTGGAAGTGCAAGATATCGGAGGTAGACTTTTCGTGTTTCTCGGATGAGGGCCAGTAGGAGCCAGAGGACTGGGCCTGGGGATTCAAGACTGTAAACATTAGTTATAGGAATGTTATTTTCAGGTTGAATGAGAGGCAAAACTTACCAAAGGCTCGTTCTCATCACATCGTCCAAGTCATTACCTAGCATCTCTCGCACACTTGTTCGTATGAACCCAGGAAGTGATGACAATGCCGAATCAACGTAGACTCGAACGTATTGGTCGTTTGTCGCCGTGGGCTTTGCCACTTCTTCTTCATACTGGATTGTCCAGTCTCTCAATTCGATCGCAAAGTGCAGGCCATTTTTCCATCCATCGGCTTTTGAAGGAAGCGGGTCAAAGGGGATTCCCATGTCTTCTCCCAAATTTTTGTGAAAGATACCGAGAGCACATTTTTCAACATCAGTAAGCTCGCGCCATTCTTCTCTTTCGACAACATTCAGGATCTCGGCAAGACCGTCACCCAGAGTATGGAGGAGGTCATTATCCGTTATTTTGCTGGCACGACGGTAACGAGCATGGCTAATGATGCCCGGGGTCAGCGAACAACACAGGAGATTTTATTATTGCCTCAAAATAAAGGCAATATACATTCAGGGGTGCGTCCAACATACAGGTAATTCATTCTGGCCACGGCTGATGTATAGCGATCAGAATCCCTAGGTTTGGACTGCACCTCTCGCAAGAGGATTTCCGTATCAACAGCGCGCTTTCCTGAATTGCGCTTATTGTTTTGGCCGGTAACCGCGAAGAGTTTGGACATAGTCGGGATACCTCCAGCCTAGAAGCATACTTGAACTTAGCGGCATTCACGGTACCCATTGAACCGGCCAGAGGTTTCTATCGTACCTTCAATAGAGCCATTTTACGAGCTTTAGCAAAAGCATGTGGAAACTCCAGCTCTTGCAACTGGTTCAGGATAGAATGTGCTTCTTTTACCGTCATCTCTGACAAGTCTTTCTTGCCAGGTGCGAACGGGGCCTCGATCTTCGCCATGCGGCGGTATCGGAGAAGGCCAACCAATGCTATATAGCTGATGAAGACAAGGACAATCGCCAACCGATGCTTGCTCCATAGTGTACAGAGCAAGTCCGTGGCGTGCATCATTCCGTCAACGGACACTTGAAGCGTTCTGCGTCACAAGCTGGTAAGCATTCGGCGCAAAAGTAGGGTTTCCCATTTGCCAACTTGCCGTCTGAAGCTTGTATCTGTGGATGGGGCGAGGTTCATAATTCCTTTGCCTTTGCGATTCTAGATGAAGGGATATCTCAAGATAGTAGAGGATATTTAATATATCTTATATGTGGCAAGGAAGAACTGTCCTGGCTGCCGAGGCTCCTGGTTACAGTGGATCACTAACCCAACAAAACACATGGTGAAATGCAGAAATGTGAGATATTAATGGACTTCATATTGTTGGGCTCACAATTCTCAAGCCAACCATGTCTACAATATGGAAAACTTCTCATGGGACCTCGGAGGTTCCAAAGGTTGACCACGATGATAATGTAATCAAAGACTCCAAGGTTGGGGCTACGCAGTCAAGACAAATGAACTAAGTATCTTCATTTGCTATGCACTCATTGCGAAACTAATCATACGATAGATGCGACTCCAAAGGGGAGGAGTGGAAGCGAAAAGTCTGAGTACATTACTCGCTGATCTAATCGTTTACCCTGCATATTCCATATATTTCATTTGATATTCGAGTGTGATGTATTAATTATTATTTCATGATAAATTTCGCATCAAGGCTGAGCGAAAGGCAGTTTCAACATCAGATCGCCGGAAACCAGGTGCCCGTCCTAAGATAGCCACCCCGCGAAGAAGCCCTATCATTACGTATTTTTTAGGAAAGAGACTTTAACATAATGTCGGTGCGAAAGCTCACCTATCAAGAAAGATTCAACGTCGAGTACGCAACATGATGGTTGTTGAGGTAATGCCGAAGCTATGGCATCTGTGAGCCGCGAGTTCAAGCGTTTCTGGTAAATGAGATAGACTTACCAGTCTGGGTTTCAGAAAATGATATGCATTGAGTGTCCAATAAAGCAGACCCAAAATCGGATTGACCGGGGCTCAGTGCTAAATTATGCACGGTGGGAAACGAACCAGGTCCGTCCAAGTCCACACCTTTCTCCCTAAGATATCCTTCCACATCGCGGCAATCAAACCACTGGCCGCCGAACCCACAAAGCTCAAGATGACTCTGAGCCTGATAGACAGAATTCGGGTCACCGGGAATCCCGGACATGGGTAGATTGCCGAGTATCCTTCGAGGGTGTCTCATCCTCGGGGGTAACATGGGATTCCCTTTTTCATCTTTCGTCGCATAATGTGTCCCAGCTCCCCCAATACAATAAAATGGTAGTGTAGAAATCTCCAGCGAACTGCCTCGTTCAGAAGTGACCAGGTCCCTAAAGTAAGGGTACATCTTTGCCCTATCCCGGAAACAGGGGACGAGCCTGAATACTCGGAAGACTTCGAGGGGATCAGAGCGAGTATCACTAAATATTCGAAAGGCGTGCTCCAGACTGGATCGTTTGAGTCTTCGAGTGAAGGAACTTTCCAGGAATGCATATGAATCGGGAACATTGGCTCCACCAAATCGATCGAGGATTTGCGCAATGGGATCGAATTCTCTTTGTTCCTGCATGACAGGTGGGGATCGACAAAGGACCCTCTCCCCATTTTCCTGATACGGGTTGGCCTCGGTTTCCGGGGACGTACCAATGCATGTGGAGCTTGGCTCGGCAATAGCTTGGTGACGAGAATTAGTATCATTGGCGAAAAGGCCATCACATTGGATGTCCTTGAGTGATTCTGGAGTAGACTTCTTGGAAGTTTCTCTCAATGAAACGTCGTTAACGCTGGTTCCCTGAACAAAGTCCTCGGATGCAGAAGTCAGAAGACTCAGGATGCCGTCAAAATCCCTGAGAAGTTCGCAATGGGTGCCGTGCAGGCTAGACTGAAGAGTGACCCTGTATTCCGCAAGTGAATTTGAGATCTCTTTGATCTTATATTCGAGGAAGGCCACTCGTTTCTGGGTTTGTTGAAGACTTGCTTCTTTCTTCAGTCTATAGGTTCTCTGAGCACGCCGGATTTGGCTTCGCCGATCCTGAGCGGGGAATTAGAATATGTCTTCTCCACTGTTTCTTATTAGTTCCATGGAGTCTAAATACCTCAGACAGTATAGCTTCCCCGGGTGCATCGAGCCTGCGCCTACCCGCGCTCCTTGGTGGTCGCCTTTGACCCATAGCGGGTTTGGTTGCTGAGTCTGACATCTTGACTCATCCGATGTAGGTACGCACTAGATCATGGCCGAGGGAGGAATTATCCCTAGTCCCGAAGAAAAGCATTGAGTGGACAGGCGTTGAGCAATGAAATAAGCATATTCTTGATCCCTACGTGAAAAGCCCTTCCCAGATGGAGGCAAAGTCCTGATAATGTAATCCGCCTCGGTCCCCACAATATTACTATGGTTGAGTACACAAGTTGGGATCCATACACCCATTGGGTCAGAATGTTGGGGCCAGTTCAACTAAATAGCCAGTCTTCCCCTGAGTGTTGAATACTTTTTCTAAGAGAAAGTGTCACGGCGACGATGGACGTCGAAGATTCGCAGGCTGTCTCACCCTTTTCGCCGAGGTATTTCCGATACGACCTGACCTTTTGAATATGCAGGTGTCACTGAGCCTTTCAATTTATATGCATAGAATTATGCACATCATTCCAGACATACTGTGTGATGCCAGTAGGAAATGTCCAAACTGCACAATCGTAGCCATCTGAATGATACGCGTAAGAAAAGCTCAGAAGCCTCCACCAGGCCATATCGTATACGATGGGTGTGAGCAGGCTTGATAGGTACATGTACGTAGGTATGAGTGCTTGGTCTCAAAGGACTGTCTCAGATAGCTTTATTTCAATGGATTACTTTAGGCAAGGCCCGAAAACACCGAAGGGCACTAGTATACTATGAAGTACAGCCACCCAAACCCACTCGTCGAGCTATAATAAAGTCCACATAAGAGCAGTGGCATAGGAAATCTCCCGGCAGGCAGCGAAAGTCCGCTAGGTAAATATGGATACGCGCAGCTTGTTGTTAATTCGATTGAACAAGTAAGCAGTTAGATCAAATTGAAGTATGAAACAAATGCAGGAATAATAATAAACCTCTCCATTAATCTGCCACAATGGAGATAAGAAATGTCAAAACACCACCGGATCGCGAATCCGAAATCAAAGGATGGAACCACTCCCTGCGCCACACCGCACTACGCAAAGGGGGAACCGATAACAGTAAAGTAAAAAGGTACAGGAGACCCAGCAGACAGGATAAAATATGGCAAGTGTCGTCAAACATAACGTAACACCAAAGCTGAATAAGGCACAAGCAAAGAAAAGAGACAGACGCGGGTATCGAAATGTGATCGCAGAACGTAGGCAATCAAGACGGTGATGAAAACGACACGGCGATTAGTTGACCATAGGAAGGCCATGCGTGACCTCCTGCTTGTTCACGCCCTCGTTTCCGTCCTGGTTTTCATCCGTGCGCACCCGCTTATTTTGCTGGAAGCTGTTGTTGTTGAGGAAGGCCGCATCGTCAGGGTGCTTACGCATGCCAAGCGTTGCGGCAGCGATGCGGTTCAAAGAGTTCATGTCATCAGAGACAGAACTGGGGTGCTGGCCCTGGGGACCCGGGGTAGGCACCGAGCCCGGGGGGCTGGAGTTCTGAACTCCGGCATTGGCAAGCGCCATCTCAGTGGTGCGGGGCTGGCTCAAATCGATATTAGCGGGAAGCTCGGGGACTTCACCCTGGGCTTCGAGAAGACGCGATTGCAAGTTGATGATGTATTCGCGCAGCTGGTAGTTCTCGCCCACCAGGGACTTGACCTGATCTTTGAGGGGGTCGATGTTCTTGACCTCTTCCTCGAGCTTGCGAATGTAGGTTTCCTTGCGCTGGCGGAATGCGCGCTGTTACGACGATCAGCGAAGTACTCCATGCACTATATCAAAAGGACATACCTGAGCAGCACGGTTTTGGGCAGCACGCTTAGAAGTAGACAACTCACGCTTCCCATAGCTCTTGGAGCCGCCGTCAGAAGGGGGAGAACCCTGGGGTTGGGTGGGGGTTTGGGGAGCGCCGAGAATGGCACCCGAGATGGCAGGGTCAATATTTGGCTGGTCTCGCGGGCTAGCATTGTTGGGCTGCAAATGCTGTTGCTGTCCTGGAGCACCCTGGGGACGACCGCCCAAGTGGTGCTGAGCGGCTAAAAGCTGGTCATGGAGGACTATGGAATCATCCATGGATGTTAGCAATGGGGAACAACCACGTGCGACGGGCATCCCTAATTTTCCCAGGCGAGATGAGGTAGGAGATCGGGGCACAGAAGTTTTCAGCACAAAAACCTCGCATCAGGGCAATGAAACATCAAGAACGCTCTAAACTACAATCACGTACCCTGATCCGCGGGATCCTACAGCCAAATGTTAGTATGAACCATAGCAAATAAGAGAATGAAGGATATAGGTGACGCGGCAAGCAAGACTGGATGGAGACTCGACGCGTCGAAACGTCGGACCCGTTCCCGACACGTTGGTGACGCGACATGAGCTGCCTTGTATCCAAAGTATCGAGGATGTACTCAACGGGGGACCTCATATAGATCTGATGACAAAGGTGTTTAAGATGGTCTGCTTACCTGAGCAGAAGTCTGCATGCTTGGATGCGGCGCTGGCGCCAGTGCAGGTTGCATTGATTAAGAAGAAAAGGGCTTGGTGATGAAACTAGGCAGTGAGTTTGCAAGGCACTCTTAGTTTCCGCAAAAATTGAAAGCAAATAGAGCTGCTTTGCTGATCACAGAATACAGCTAAAATGAGGTAAGCAGTTACAGATCCGATGCTGTAAGCAAGTTGATGGCGGGCCCTGGAGGAGGAGGAGGATTACTTAAGGATTCTGAGTCAGAGGATTTGGGGCGATCGTCAATTTATGTAAGGAGTTGGTAAGCGAAAGGTCCGCCTTGAGAAGGCGGTGAGTAAGGCGGTGGCTCTTTCCCTGGAGCTTATCTCGAGGCTTTAATACCCCATACACTGGCTGTGATTGGGTTTAACCACAATCTCACGATTACTCGTCATCTCCCTCCAATCGCATGGTACCATCGTACCCGTGAACATGGATGTCCGCGAGTACCTGGTAGGTTTATTGCTGACTGCGTCCCGCCCGCATCCGGCCTCGGAACGGGTTTACTTGTTCCCGACCGAGTCAGCATGACGTCAGAATCACCGCTTATCCCGACATTTCCGCCTGAGGTATCAGACAATACTTCCATTCAATTGGGGACAAATTTAAGGCATACATCGGACCAATATCGGTGGTGACTATGTACCTGCACATAGCGTACTAAGTTGAATCTCTACGGTCTCGTGAACTCGTATCACCCCAAAACACAGTCAGCCCCCTCATGCCCCTGTCCCTATATCCTAACCCTGCACAACTCTGAAGCATTACTGTTGCTTCTTCACGCCACCGTTGGTAGGTTGTGCCTGTATAATCCCAGCTCCGATCTTGGCTGACTCAGTCCAGCCCCGCTGGTGCATCCAGAAACGGGTTGCCGGGTCGGCGCCATGCAAGGATGCACGCCGAGCATCATCTTCAAGAGACTTACGTGAGATATCAGTGGACTGGGCCATGGATGTGACATCGTCCTCGTCCTTGTCCTCATCTACCTCCGCAGTGGTTGTGGACTCCAGATAGCGCTTGCGCATGAGGTAACGCTCAGCGCGCTCCTTGCGGGAATTGGGAGGCTCAATCCTGGCCATAGCAGCCCGCACAGCATACCGCACGATAAGATACAGGTGTTCAGAAAAGAAGATTGTCAGAAGCAGAGCCCAGCCTTTGATATCTGTCGGCTCGCCATTCGGCCCATGCTGTTTGTTGCCACTGAACATGTACAGCAGCGCAGCGCTGGTGATACTTCCAACCCAGGAGAGGAATCCCAGGCTATCGAGCCAGGGTCCAATCGTGTCAGTCCGCAATGGCACAGGTCTGCGGAACTCCATGCAGATCTTGAAGAAGTCCGATCGCAACTCGACCCAGTTGTTCACAAAGAATGAGAGGGGGACAAGCGGCCATGTGGGTGAGAAAAGGGCCAAGTATCCAAATTGAATACACATCTCACGTAGATCAGCGGTCACATCGTACTCGGAAAGTTCGACCTCGTTACGCACACGTGTGAGGAACTGCACTTCCTCGGCCGGATCATCGAAGGACACGACGGGTCTTTCGGGCGATTCTTTGTCGCCATTTCGGTCCATCTTACCATTGCGCTCCTTGTTGTACTTTTTGTATTTGCGGAGTGCATGCTGTTTGATATAGGGCACGATAGTCTCCATGGCGAAGCCAACGATCTGGGCCGTGACAGTGAAGTAAACAACCTGGTTTCGCAGGCGAGCTGGGTCGATCTGGAAATGTGATCGTTTTGCGACGGCATGTTCCTTCGATACGAAAGGCCGAACTGTCAAGTGGAAGACATCGAGGTAGGGGACAATGCGGCTAGCAAATGGCACGTAGACAAAGGCTGTCAGGAAAATTGGCATATAAGACGTGATGAAGTTGATAACAAAGACCTTCTGCGTCAACGCAACATCATATGCATCACTTGTCTCATGGTTCTCGTGGTCGTTAAGCTTCGTTGCGATAGACGTCAAAATAGCGCTCATGGTTGGCACAAGCGCTGATACAAGGATGGTTGGGATGAAAATCTGAAGGGTAAGCTTTAGTAACACGAAATGGGAAGGATGACTATACCAAGTATGTTTTCAAGGGGCCATTGTAGAGCTCCGAGATGAAAATCTCAATGGCAAAGCAAGTCGCAATGATAGCACCCAAAGCAATTGCCGCAAGCAACGCGAACGGGATTTGAAGTAGCTGGCGTTGCATACGCTTAGTTGCTGGGAAGACACCGCGCATCTCACCGGTACCTTCATCGCGGACCTCCTTTTCTGCCTTGAACTCTCGTCGTTTGGTCCGAACAGCCGAGACGTTCTTGGTCTGCCACCTGCAGCTCAGATCAACCTCCTGGCGCTTCCAGTATTCCACAAAGATAATACACCACAGACAATTGACGATAGTATAAATAATCGAATATCCGCCAAGCAGGAACCAACAGGAGAATCCAAAGACAGCCGGGAAAATCAGAAAACGGAAGTATGACTGCAGGAACGCGAAGTAAAATCCAACCTGCCACCTATGTTAGCCAGGCCAAAGAACAACGACCACTGC